GTAAAGTGGGGAAACATGCAGGAAAGGTGTCTTGAGAATCAGGGTTAGGAAACACTGATGGTTTGTCTCCTCTAATAAATAGATATAGTTTTTGAAAACAATGCTTTTATTTTCTGTCTCCTTTAACTTTGTTTAATAATAATATTATCTTTCACAAGTTATAGAAAAGGTATTTAACTCAAGTCTATCAGACTTAAATATTCTTCTCTCAAATATACATAGTGACTTACATTTGATGATGAGACTAATGGGTTCTGCCTCATCAGAACCGAACCTCTGTGTAGCCATGGTAACCTCATACACACAGCTGTAGCTGCCCTGGTGTTCAAACTCAGCAGCTGGGAAGTTAAAGGAGGCTGAGTTGTTGACTGCTGGCCTGGTTTCTGTGATGTTGGATCCGGAGAAGATGAGAGAGAAATCTCCCTGAGGAAATCTGGGGTCAATGGAGCAAATGAAGGAGAAGCCGTAACCTTTGGTAACCTCTGCTCCTCCTGGACCCCAGACCAACCCTCCAACTGGGGATGTCAGGGAAATGATGGGTCTGGACAGATTCACTGGAGTAAACATGGACATGGAACAGAAGAATATTTTTCCACATAAAGGCATTTGAGAAGATGAATTATGGATTTTCCATAAATATTTCGTAGACTAAATATTCACTGTTTGCACAATTTATTTAATCTTACCTCTAAGACGAACAGAGTTACTGAAGGGAGAGGTCCATGTTTGGCTTGACACCCTTTGCTCATACTGACACTTAAATTCTCCATCATGATCCAGAGTCACTTTAGGGATGTTGAAGGTAGCAGAGGAAGAAACTGAATACTGAGTCATTCTGAATGATCCTGAAGTCTGTCGGAGGATAAATGTTCCACTTAAAGGCGTAGCAGCAATAGAACAAGTGATGCTGAGTGGTTGACCCCAGGTGACCTCATCAGAGCCTATTGAGATGCTGGGATTTGGAAGGTTCACTAAAAAACAGTAAGTTGTGAGAATAAAAGTTTATTTATTTCTGCAACTGAATGACTCTGAAAATAATCATCTTTTACTGTCAGTTTATTTATTTTTTGTGGTCTGAAGGCCCGATGGAGACAGTGCCTGGCAGCTGGGCTCTGAACTATGTGGAAGATTTTTATATCACTTTACAACAAATATCAACTTCCAAGATATAAAATGTTTCAATTGTCTTTTCAAAAAGGGGTTATGTTTTTTTGTTGTTTTTTTTTTCTTTTTTTACAACCATACAATCCAAAGGAGATTGTTTTTTTTTTTATATTAAAAATAAATTTGCTAATGTCAGTATATACTAATGGATGATCTGATTCACTGAGAGTGAAAATCAAATAGTGAATCCATTTTAAACAACTGATTGTACTGCTGAAGTTTCACTATTCACACAATTTATTTAATCTTACCTCTAAGACGAACAGAGTTACTGAAGGGAGAGGTCCATGTTTGGCTTGACACCCTTTGCTCATACTGACACTTGAATTCTCCATCATGATCCAGAGTCACTTTAGGGATGTTGAAGGTAGCAGAGGAAGAAACTGATGGCTCAGTCATTCTGAATGATCCTGAAGTCTGTCGGAGGATAAATGTTCCACTTAAAGGCGTAGCAGCAATAGAACAAGTGATGCTGAGTGGTTGACCCCAGGTGACCTCATCAGAGCCTATTGAAATGCTGGGATTTGGAAGGCTCGCTGAAAAACAGTAAGTTGTGAGAATAAAAGTTTATTTATTTCTGCAACTGAATGACTCTGAAAATAATCATCTTTTACTGTCAGTTTATTTATTTTTTGTGGTCTGAAGGCCCGATGGAGACAGTGCCTGGCAGCTGGGCTCTGAACTATGTGGAAGATTTTTGTATCACTTTACAACAAATATCAACTTCCAAGATATAAAATGTTTCAATTGTCTTTTCAAAAAGGGGTTATGTTTTTTTTTTTTTTTACAACCATACAATCCAAAGGAGACAGTTTTTTTTTTTTTTTATTAAAAATGATAAATTTGCTAATGTCAGTATATACTAATGGATGATCTGATTCACTGAGAGTGAAAATCAAATAGTGAATCCATTTTTCAAAAAACTTTGTGGTGTTTCAACTCAATGTCATCTTTCCAGTTGGGCTTTAGAAGGTAAAAATACTAATGACATATCTGGATGAGGTTCAGTTGAAAACAAGTTTCACAGGTTAGAAATTGATATTCTGCAGCTAAATAAATAAATAACAACTTCACTCTATTTTACTCTCTGATCAGTCTGACTGACTGGGTCACATCTAGAGGAGTTGTCCTGCTCTTTTCTCTTTTCTCATATTAACCCTGGAAAAACTCCCCAGTACGACTTTATGGACCTAATATTTAAGAGACATGCTGAACTCTCAGTTCCCAGAATGTCTTCTTGAATTTTGCCAGAAGACAAAACGTCTTCATCAGCATGAGTTACAATAACGCTTAAGTCAGGGAGTCTGTGGTCAGACAGTAAAGAATCAAGAAGAGTTTCATTTAGTTTTAACGCATGGATTCTACACCAGACAGAACGAGGGCCGCCTTTTGGACACTCCTGCTTTAGGTAGCATGGTGCATTCTCATATAAGCGTTATTATGTAAGTGTTATGTCCAGTGGTGTGAGCCCACAAAATAAAAAATAGTGGAATATGTATTTCTTCAAATGTTTCTGGCTGTAGTAACAGTGTTTCACCAGGAAGTGGAGCATGGAGACAGTGATTTATTGTTTTCTCCTCTGTTTCTCACAAACAGAAAACCAAATGATAACAAACTTTGACCATTTTCTCAACTCAGTGTCACTGTATGAGAAATAGCTCTATTATTAGGTCTTCATACCTGAAAAGCAGCACTATGTGATCTGTACAATGGAGGACATGGACAACAATGGAAGCTACGTTGAACAATCTGCTTCTGAATTTGTCAGTTCAATGGATGTTCTGTTGAGAGTTTCTACATATGGAAAATTGCTCTTGTGATGCCATCAGTGACTCCATTCCTTAGCCAACTAGTGACAGTCTTTTGACATCAAGTTTTCAGCCCATCTTCATATATTTGAAACCCAAGTAAAGTAGATTCTTAAAAAAATGGATGTTGCTACGTGTAGCCACAGAGGACGAAATGTCAATGACCTGGTCTGAAAAGTAGACGCCTCTGATGTGAAGTGAGTTGCAGCTCATTGCCAATGAGTATAGCCCTAGTTTTGTTGGTGTTGAGTTGGAGAAAGTCCTGACTGCTCAGAGTTTAAGAGATGAATGAAATCATTCTGATGCTTTTCTCAAAAAGAGAATACGTATTAAATTCATTATACTCCTGATATTTTAGTGTTTACAGAATTTATTTTGTCTTACCAGTTAGACGGACAGTCACTTATAACTGTAGGCTTGTTTTGTCTTCAAATGCTTTATCAAATTACTCATTAGATGATGCATTTTTTCTGCAAAAAACTTTGCCTTTACACTGAAAAAAATAAGTCATTGGATGAACATAAAAAAATTATGGAAAGGATTTCCACCTGATTACTTTGCTTTATTTCAGCACCATGTACTTGTGTTACTCCTATTTAAAGCAAATGTGTCAGGTCAACCTAATTTATTAAGATTATTCCAATGTAAAGCAAATGTGTTGGCTCAACTTGTTACAATGGTGATTCAATGGGTGATTCTAAATCAAACATGTTGGCTCAACGTAATATATTGTGGTTATTCTTATATAAACAAAATGAGTTGGCAAAACATAATTCATTAAGGTTGTTCTAATTTAAACCAAATATGTTGGCTTAACCAGAATTATGGTAATGCAATGGATGATTGTAAATCAAATGAGTTGGCTCTACTCCATTCATTAAGGTTATTCAAATTCAAATGAAATGTGTTGGCTCAACATATGCTTTAAAGGTTCCTTTAACTCAGTTACTATAGCGTGACCCAGTGTAATGCAATACAGCCCACCCAACTAATCTGCAATGTTTAGGACCAAATCATTGATGTTACTTCATTAAGATGAATGTAAATCTAGTTGAAACCACCTTATTTTACAGTGGTACCTTCACACTACCTGATTCAGTAGGTCCAACTCACTAAAAGCAAGTTAGCTCAACAAATATGCTTCATGCTAAAAGACAGCTAGTTAATCATGTGGAAATCCTTTCCATTATTTCATGATATTAATTCAAAGACATATTTTCAAGCGTTAATCAAGCATTTTAAGATAGCACTAGGTGAAAGTGTAGGAAGAACACTCAACAATTAGAAAAGGTACAACACAATTGTATTTTCAGAATTGTTATACATCGTTTTTTTACACAGCACAAAACACAGCTGAGTTGGACATTGAAATAGAAAACAACTACAAAAAGGTTACAGTTTCATTTCCCAGCCAATTCTTTACAACATAAAACATGTCAGTATAGTTGCTCAACTTAGAGAACTGTAACAATATAAATCTTTTCTACTGCAGACTTTAAACACTCATTTTCCATATGAAACTTTACTCAACTTAGCAGTGAGTTTCATATTGAGAACTTGTGCTTTCTTTGATAAGTTCTTTCCATCCAATTTCATTATTATTTTCTGTATTACTTCAAAGGTATGCTTGAGTTACTGAGCAAGTTGAGTGCTGAACGCACTAAACTTGAGTGTAGCTCAAGTTTAGTGCGTAGATTAGTCCCAGCAGCATCACTATTGCAGAAGATACACTGCCCAAGCTGTTCATAACTTCCACCTCCTCCAGGACAATCCCAACATCAGATGTGCATCAGCAGCCTCTGCACCCTCTGCTCAAATGACGATTCCGAGGACAGTCTCGGCTTTGGCCATTTCATTCATCAAAAGGGAGTTAGGGAAGGGTATTGGGGGGGAGACAATTCACATGTAATTAAATAAATAAATTAAGACTGACATTGATTGAGTCACTCATGGACCTTAGTTGGTGAAAGTATTTTAACAACTCTTAGAGTTCTATTGTAAACACAAAGAGAATTTAACATACCATGTACTCCCTCACCAGCTTCTCTGGATCTTCATTTAGGTACACACAGACCTTTGAGGATGCACTCTCGTCTGACCTCAGCAGTGTCTTCCTAAATATGCAGATCAAAAAACAATGAGAACAATCTCAAAACTCCAGCAGTATAGGTTCACACACTTGAAAACATAGCTACATTCAAAGGAAGTCACAACAAAGTGATCAGTGGCTTGCAGTCTATTTGAAAGATATTTAAAATTGTTAGTATCCCTTCATTATGCCATGACTAAAATTGAGTTTAACATCTCATTTAAACATCTAACTGAAGCTGTTAGATGTTTTAAATAAAGACATGAATATCACCAAAGAAATATGTGAAAAGTACAGAATGGTCAACACAGTCTATATCCTTCTACTTACGTGAATATGCAAAGCATTCCATGTCTTACAAGTACATGGACAGTCTATGTGTGGGCATGGATAACGTCGCATATGCCGGTGTTTAAGTGTAAAATGTTTTAACAGGTCATATCTACGAGACAGAGAGAGACTACACTCCTTACATTTCCACATCCCCACGCAAATAAAGACAAATAAAACAGACTGGCCAAATAAATGTTTAGCTGAACTCTAGCTTTATAAGCTCTCTAACACTACATTCAGTCACTTTAGATCTGGCAAAACTTACTATTAGCCACTGAAATCTTAACTTGATAGCTGATGAGCCCGTTGACCAGTACTTACGCAGGTGGATTACAGACAGGTGATGTTCTGAAAGAGATCAGATATATTTTCAGCCATTAAAATATGCAATTCATACTGAACTGAGTTGTATCTTTTAGTACAAGTCCCTTGAATGCCTCATGAATATAACCACTGGACACATGCAAGCACATATGTGCAGAACAATGGTGAATTGAACATGATAGAAGCAATAGTAACAGGTCAAAATGAGCACAAACAATCAACACAAAAAACATCAACATTTCAAAATTAAACCAATGAACTTCAATATTGTTTCTGAGCTACAATTATTTGGGGACAACAAAGAAGAGTCCAAAAAAACAACATCTTTACAGCAGAGGAATATGTATTTTAAAGAAAAAAAATAGAAAGCTCAAGTCTGTAATAATGGATAATCCATTGAGAGTTTTAGCCTGACAAAATATACTAGAAATCCATAACTAACAGGTATTTAACAAAGCTCAGAAAGCAATGCTTTCTGCAGGTTTCACCGACTGAAATGTAGGACTTTTTATTACCATAATTAATTAAGAATCTCGATGATGATAGAAAGGTACCAAAGTGTGTGTATCTACATTTACCTCCATAGTAACATTACTGAAATAGAATTAAATAGTTAGAAATAGACTGATGTTAGATCCGTGTGTTAAAAATCCTCTAAACCTCCAGGGAGCTCAGGAGGAGCAAAACTGTGACATTTCTGGGGTCCATTTGTGTCTCTGGCAGCAGCTTTGTGACCCTTACACTACATATGGCTCTGCAGAGTTTTTTCGCACAGAATGTACCTAACATGGTGCGGCGATAAATGTAAACAAAAAGCTATCTGCCTTAACCTAACCGACTTAATCTACAGAACATGAAATAATGTGACACAAGTATGGAACAAGTAGAAAATGGTGCAAATGGTAGAGAAATTTTAAGTTACATATTTTTATATGGATTTGGATGAAAATAGTTTTGACTCTTACCTTCTTCAAATTAAGTAGATGCACGCCAGGAATCTCCCCTCTGCCCTTGAAACCCAACAAGCCAGTTATCTCGCGTGATTTTCCGTAATCTCTTGATGTCGCTGGATCCTCTTCAGCGGGAGATGAGTCTGACACAATAGCGCTTTGGAACTGACGTCACTGTGTTTTTTTTTATTAGATTAACTTTGACAAATATTGATATTGAATATTGTTAGTATCGCAGATACTGCGCAGGACCCTCAAGCTCCCAGGCCTCTGGTAGAGGCCTGGGAGCTTGAGGAATTAGATGTATTCAAGTTGAGATAACGTCATTCAATCACGTTAGTCCAGTTGAGAGAAAAAACCGATTGTCTCGCGTGTTCTCGTGATATCCCGTGATCTCACTCGTTGTCGTCAGCACAATATCAGTCTAACTATAATGAATCATGTTAGCTCAACATGATTCAATTTTATAAATGTGAAGTCGTGGAATATCTTGTTTATCCAACATGATTTTATCACGTTTTCGCTTCAAACCCAACATTATTGTGTGAAAGGTACATGATATTTTTTTGTTAATGTAATACGCCCCGACGTTCTTTTTTTTTGGCGGAAGATCTAGCTGACGTAATTGAATCACGTTATCTCACCTTGAATACATTTTATTCCATTTGCGAGAAAAAAAACGATTGTCTTGCGTATTCTCGCGTGATATCCCGTGATTTCCCGTAATCTTGCGTGAACTTGCGTGATATCGCGTGATCTCACTCGTGGTCTTCAGCATAGGATCGTCTGACTATAATGAATCATGTTCGCTCAACATGATTCAATTTTATAAACGTTGAAGTTGTGGAATATCTTGTTTATGCAACATGATTGTATCATGTTTTTGGCTCAAACATGCAATTATTTAGTTAACAGTACATGATATTCTTTTGTTAATGTGATAACCCCTGAGGTTCCTTTTTTACAGTGTATGGTTCAAGCCTCACCTGAAATTGAATTCTGTGGCACAAGTAATAAAACTACCAAATGAGAATGAATGCACAATATAAAGTCGTTAAATATACTTGGTACAGAGTATAAGACAGCTTACCTGCTTGGTGGAAGTAAGGTACAGTTAATCACTGGATTGTAAGAAGTGCAACACATGCACACAGCTTTGACACTATTTAAAATCTTATGTTAAATTCTTATTTGCACTTGACTAAAGCTGTGGTTACAAGTGACAAAATGGAGCTGCAAGATGCTAAGAGGGAGAAGTTAACAATGCTTTCTGAAATTATGGTCTAAAAATTGATAACAGTGAAAGCTTAATTAAAATACCATGTTGGGTTTACTTAGGCCTCAGACTAGAAGAGCACCAATTGCAGTTTTCTGGCCAACTTTTAAAAGCTTAACATGTCAATTCCAATTTTGGCCAATAATTTTTTTTTTTAAATGTTTCTTAATATAGCAAAAAAGTTGAATGGGCAACAGTGGGGTGACTTTTAATTGTAAACGTGCGGGTGGGCTCTCATCTGGAGAGCAAAAGAGGACAGTGGTTGATTCTTAGACATTTGCCAAGCTGGATAGGATCAGAGGATAAAATCAACTTCACATGTAAAAAATGGCTGATCACCAGTCTACCAAACTGAAGTAAATTGGCACCAATAAATGATCTTGCATATAAATTATACAGTTATACCTAATAATTGCAAGAGGTATAATTGTAACTGAGCTTTATTCAGGGCAGATCTGTCTCAGACACATTGTCTATAGGTTTGGGTTGGACTGGTTTTTATAAACCTGATCTAAACGCTAAACATTAAAAATAAAATTTTAAATACAATTAGTAAAGCATTTTTTTCTTTACCTGAACAGATCACACCAGCATCCTCACTATGACCACAGTTATGTCTCCCATAACCTCTGTGTCCACAGCTGGTTAGAGAACTTTCAGTTCCTGAGCACTGAACATCATCAAGCCAGATTTTTCCATCTCCTTGACCAAAGCGAGCAGAACCCGTTGCATTGAGTGCTGTACCACAGTCCAGCTGTCTGCAAACCACATTAGCATCAACTGTGCTCCAGTAATCATCACAGACCGTTCCCCACGTATTGTTGTAGTAAACTTCAACCCTTCCAGAGCACCGAGTTGATCCAGAGCCTGCCAACCTGATCTGACCTATAAGAACAAAATTCAACATATTCATATTGATATTCTGATAACAATAAAAAACACTTATTTATTATGGGAAAACTAATTCATAAACTGACCTTTAGTGAATGAAGAAAATGTTAAGGCGAGAAAAACTGCAAGATTAAAACTTGAATTATCATTTTGTTAACAGAAGGCAGGTGATTTATGTAAAATATATAATTTATTTTTCATAGAAAGAAAATTAAAGAAAGAGAGGAAGAGCATAGAAAAAAATAGAAATATTATCTTACAGATAAAGTCTTTAAGAAACAGATGATTCCTCTGCTTTCTGTTCCACATGACTGCTTAAGGCTTCTCTGTGTTCTTCAACTGGACTGAAACATTTTGAAAGGAACTCGACTTCTGACCACATATCCACTTCCTCTTCAATTTTTTTAAAGCCACTCAGTCTAAAAAAATGTATTGAAAACAGCCACAGCTTATACATTTCATTTAAAATTTGCTCTGAAGTTCTGGTAGCTATTGTCTTTAAGCTTTGCTTAATGTTTATGGTATTTTTGCTCGTAGTTCTCAAACATCATGCAGTTGTATTGTAAGAGTGGAAATACTTTTTCATTATGACCCCCAGCTGGGTCTTAACGAAAATAAAAAGCTGGACCAAAATATGATTTGGGAAGCTGTTTAGATAGATAAGAATAACAATTTGTGATTAATTGACTTGTTTTGCTAATCTGAGATGGGACAAATGTCTTCAATTGTTCGAAAGAGGTCCAATACACACTCAGTCTAAGGGCTGCCAGAATGTTGACGTAAAAACTAAAAGCAATATTTGGTCAGTCAAGACTTCCAGACACAGACTAATGGGATACTGGGAAGTATAAAAGAGGTTTAGAAACTTTGATATTGTAATGATGCATCCGTGGTAGAAGTGATGATAAATCTCCCGACCCGTCATGGCTGGCAGTAAAGAACTCATCCCTGAGTCTTTTACTGTTTGTTAATTATATAATTAAGAATTTTGCACCTTCCGATTCTCCAACACTATAAAGTGCTTCCCTCATATAGATTTAATCTCTTTTTGTAATTCTGTCATACTTAAATGTTTCACATCGTTAAATGTGTCTTCTGTTCAATTTATTGTATAAGACCCAAGTAAATATCTAAAGACTAAATAAAATTCTGATTTTATTTAGTCGGGGGACCGAAATGTGTTTATTGACTTGGACTTTGACAATACAGCAACAAGAATGTTATCGACATCCAGATAAGGGTAGGTGAGCAGAGAGCAAATGTAGGTAAAGTCAACCAGAACAACGTTTTTCTTTTAACTTGGAAAACAAAAACTATTTTAAGTCTAAACAAGTTTATTTAGTAATAACTTAGCTGTCTAAGCATTACTTTATAAGTTCTGTCAGCTCAATCTTCAGTTGTGAGTTGTTATAACGTCTTGCTGTAATTTACACTAAACAGTTATTGCACATTATGCAAGAAATCTATCCTCACGCAGTTGAACAAGTACATATTCCTGCATTATTTTCTCTCACATTATCAAGTTAAAATAACTATTTTAATTGCAATAATTTTTGGCCAGAATTTTTTTGTACACTATAATTACTGTATTCTTCAGCTTACTTGATGAAAATATCTGATAATGCAGTTTATTAACTATGACACTAAAATCTCCTTTAGAATATTTATTTTTATACAGCCTTAAACAGCACAAGAAGACAATGTAACACACTTCATCTGCCTCATGATGCAACACACTAACATGTTGCTAAACACCCTGGGAAATGGTCCCTACGATCACATGTTTTTTTATTCAGATAGGTGGCATCAACTAATCCACTTGCGGTTCATGAACCTACTATTTGGCCCCTAACCAGAGCTCACAAGCAGAAACGGTGGCAGTGGGGCCAGCTATACATGAAGATTAATTTTCAAACAGATTTGTTCACTGATGTCTGCCGTGCAACCCTAGATGATCCAGATGGACGCAGTAGTGGACGGCCATCACGTCCCAACATGGCTGTGACGTCAGCAAGGAGGCGGTAGAGTCATTTTTTGGGCAGAAATCATATGGAGAGAGAGAGCTGGTCGGGCCTTTCTGAGTCCCCAAAGGGTTGAAAATGACCTCAGCAAAATATATGGACTTTCTGACTGATCACTTTCTTTCATGGTTCAAAAAGAAGAGCCGGACTTTCAGTAGCAAAATTGTCTTCATGCATGCCAAATCACCGTCTCATGCTGCATGCAATACCACTGTGTCATTGGCTGCTATGGGCATAAAAGGGGAGAAACTCATGGTGTGGTCACCATCCGCCCTCTGACCTCTGACCCCACTGAAAACCATTGGAGTTTCCTCAAGCAGAAGGTCTGAGGGTGGAATGCAGCTCATATCAAACAGCAGCTCTGGGAAGGTTTTCTGACATCCTGCAACGAAACTCAAGCAGAAACTTTCCACGAACTCACAAGTTCAATGGATGCAAGAATTGTGCAGGTGAAATCAAAGAAGGTCCTAAGTTAACATTCAACTGGGTCTGTTAAGATGTCTTCGATTGAAACAGCTTTTGATTTTAGTACATGTGACCACTTAGTGCTGCACATTCGAAGAATGACCATTTGCAGTTCTTTAAAATCCATGAAATATTTAGAAAATCTGCTGTGCATAATAATTTGGAACAGGACATTTTGAGTTTTTTATCTTTGAAAAACAAAAATACTGTTCTCATGGGGAGCTTTGTTCAGTAAAATTTGATTTATACTGTAATAATTCATGACTCGAAAATTATATTGACCATCATTTGCATTGACCTTTTTAAGAAAATCTGAGAAAATATCACTTGCATAATAATTTGGAACACAGTGTATAGCATGTTCAGGTTGAGCTTTTTTTTAAAAGTAACTTAGTAATTAAGTAATTATTTTTTAATATAAGTCACTAGTAAAGTAACTTGAGTATTTTCTGAAGGAAGTAATCAGTGATTAATAACATGTTACTAATGACAAGAAACTTGACTAACATGAGAATAAAATGAATGGATCCATAACTGAGTCCAAATGCATCGACTGTGACTCCTTTCTAACCATTTTAACTTTGTTAAGCTGAATAGCTATAAAACAGACAGAAGCCTCTAATTTGTTACTTCTGTAATTCAAAGCATAGTGTTGTGATCCACACTGACTGAAATGTGGAACTTGAACACTAATTCTGAGAATTGGTATCACACAGGATTCTGTCACTTGGTTCCATTAAACCAAGATACGGGGAAGTTCAAACTCCTTTTTTTTTTTTTAAGTTTGTGTACTCTTGTCAAGGAAGTGCTGGTCACATTTTCAATTGCACCAGACATTCTTAAACACCCTGATAAGCTAAAACCAAACATGAACCAGAGAGAAGCAGAAACTCAGTCTAGTCAAAAGTCTTTCTTGGTTTTGACTAGAAATGCATGGACCCAAAAGTAGGCAGACTGGAGGCAGAGAGGTGAAGAGATTTAATGATGGAACAAATTAAGACAATTAAAGTTCTTTCACAAATTGGCCAAAGAGCTTAAACACAGAAAAGTAGTGATCAATGACATGGGAACGAGCTGAGTCTAATGAGGGGAATATTTAACACTAAATTAAAGATAACATGCTGAGAGCTGAACTAGAGAGAAAGGGAAACAAGTCTAACATGAAAACAAGATTAGCAAGCACAACATTCTGCCTTACTTAACCTGACAGGTTGGGCAAAAAGAGCATTAATGAGAAAAGACACCAAGAAGCAGGATGGATTTGAATGAAGAACTGTGACTTGACAGAATGGTGACAGCACAGCATTTAGTGATCCATTCAATCAGACTGAGCTTCACTGAAGAATGGCAAGTTGAAAACAAATATTGAGACGTCATATGAAGTCCTGTCTAAAGTTTGCAAAAAGACATCAAGAGTTCTCATTAATGACTTAGATTTACTGTTACATTCACTTGAGAAACAGAAATATGCTGAACTAATAATATTCTAAAGAACATGTTGTTCTTTAATACAAAAATACAGCAAGAATGTTCTTCAACTTCCTTCTTAAAATAAAGAACATAAATGTTTTTCATGAACAACCACACATAAAAACTGATGCTTTTATTACATCACTAAATAGCAACTGTTCAACAAAAAAGTACACAGTTCTAGTTAATACAGGAAGTAACCACAGCCCAACATATGTATTTGAAAACACTTTAATCTAAACACGTGCGCATGTGTGTGTGTGTGAGAGAGAGTGCGTGTGTCCTTATTTATAAAATGTTTCTCCATAAGGATTTACAACAGCCACACACCTGCCCACCACGACCCGACGAGGGTCATAAATTTTCAAAGGCCCCCAAAGTTCAGAGTCACGTTTTGTCAGACAGACGATAAAAGTGATCTTTCTCAAGAGATCTTTTTAAGATCAAGGGTCTTTAAAAAAATCAATACAGAAGAACTCCAGGACTAAAGGCTACTGTCCATCAGAGTTGTCCATAAATGTCAGAAGACTGGAAAATGCCTTGTGCTCATTTTAGTTTACTGCTAGCAACATCAGCATCCATGTAAAATCACATGTTTCACGTAACATTCAACAAAACTGCACCTCTTGGTCTTGAAATTAGAATTTCAATCAATATTATGTTGTAAAGATACAGTAGCTATACATGAGCTATTGAGGAAACAATTTTTACATTACTTGCTAACGTTTTGGATCAAATATTTGTATTTCAGAAAATCTTAAATGTATTTTTTTGTTTTGTTTTGTACATTGTTATGTAAAAAATCTTCTTTTCAAGGGTTTCTGGTTCATCCTTTTGAATCATAAATGTTGTTCTGTGATACACATACTTAGTTCAATTCAAATTTAATTCAAAAATACTTTATTCATCTCAAAGGGAAACTAAATATAGTTGTAACTCATATGAATTCAACTCTTCAGAGTTATTGTAGAAAGTGACAGTTGAAGGCAGGAAATCACTGCCTTCACCTTCCATGATCTAAAATAATGAAAATTTTAAAACAAAATTTAATGATTTATATTTAAATGATGTCTACTTTTGGTATGCCACACTGGCTCTTTTAATCGAACCAAATAAACATTTTTGCCTTTTAATTATGACACAAGTAAACACAAACTGTCACCTCCATGTTTTTGGTTTGATTTTAATCAACATATTTTTTTACAGAACATGCCTCCAAATATGAGCACTCTGCAGATTTATCTAGAGCAGCTGGTTGCCATGGTCTTTTCTCAGCCAGTCTCTTTCCATGTAGGCTCTCACTGTTCCTGCTGAACTCCTCTGTGACGCATCTGGAGCCAGAAGCAGACTGAACATCTCCATAGCCTCTGGGGTGAACCTCCTCCACAAAGGAGGGATGTCATCCTCCACGTAAACTTTCTTCTTCGTCTCGCACCAGTCGGCAAACTCCTGATAGAAGCTGTCCGAGTCCATGCAACGCTCCCATGGGAAGTAACCGGTGAGGATGCAGAAGATGACCACTGCAAAGGCCCAGGTGTCCAAGCTGGGCTCCACGCTCAGAGGAGGCACTGTCACCTCTTTCTGATTGTCCAACAGAGCCACCCTGCAAAGTTCTGGGGCCATGTACGGTAAAGTCCCTGTGATGAAGCGTATGAGGGTTCCTCTTTTCTGGGCCAGGCCAAAGTCTGCCAGCTTGACCTGTCGGCAGTGAGAGTCCAGCAGCAGGATGTTTTCAGGCTTGACATCCCGGTGGACCAGACCGTGGCTGTGGATGAACTCCAGCGCACTGGAGATCTGGAGGACGCAGCGTTTTACTGACGACTCCGGGATTCCCACCTGGATGAAGAAAGAAAATATGCAACCTACAAGTCATTGGTTTAAAGCAGAGTATCAGTTCCACCTGGTGGAAAACCTGAGCCATTACATTCTATGAAATTAAATGCATCTATGTATGTATGTAATTTAGATACCGATGGATTAATATCTGTTACCTTTAACTTTCCATAATCTCAAAAATAATGAGATGTTCAAGATCTTACATGAAAATTCTGATTTACTACACTAATCTTTATTAAAGGGACAAACAAAAAATGCACCACATGTGCCTTTAAATAAAGACTAGATGTGTGCTTTTGACACATCATAAATGGAGCGTTGATAAACAAACTTTATGTCCATTAACGACTTTGATGATGGCGCTCCACGAAATGTAACTTTACTGGTTTCTTTAATGGTGACTGGGCTTTGTTTTATGATGTTTTTATTTTTGTGTTTTTATAATGTAATGTAGTCTGAACTATTTATTTATTGACTGATATGGCTTAGTAGTAAAGATTTGTAATTTAAGTAACTGTTAGATCACACCATTACAGACCCTACTGAAGCCATTTTTTCAAATAAGAATAAGAAAAATGTTTAAACATTTAATACATGACAAAAGAAACATAAACAATCCTTCAAATCTTTGAAATTCCTTTGCAGCAGTGGCTCAGGAATTTCAGTGTGCTGCTTTTTAACTTCCAGGTAGCTGTTCTGGTTTATTGCACTATTTGTATGTTAAGATAAATTAACAAAAATGACATTTTGTGTTCATATTATAATTTTTCTGACCAATTTATTTTGTCAGGGCATCACAAACGTCAGCCACCACAAGGGGGCAACCAACGCTTTCAGCCCAGGTGTAGCAGTGAAACCAACCCAGTTGTTTAGAAAGCTTTAGGGCTGTGAAGGGGCCTTCTAAGGTTCTTCCTCCTCTAACGTTACTAATTGATACTAAATATTTACAAACTCTGTATTGAAACATATTGCTAAGACAGGAATCATTTATTGAATTATGGACAGTATTAGAACTTAAGATCATGTTAATTATTCTCTGGTGTGTGTTGGGAGGCCTGTGCTTCAGAGATGTTGACTATTTTGAATAGATTTATTGTAATATGTAAGAGGTGTGTGAAGGAATTGTCTGTTTAATCATAAGGAGATCTATTTCTCATAATTTCTGTTGAATTTCAAAACTCTGATTTCTGTCAGTAATTCTAAACATTTTTATCTATCGCCCGGTGTATATATTCATATATCTGACATTCTGAATGTTTTAACTTGTGCTTCATTAGAAGCATTTTGACCCACAATAAACATTCACTCTAAAATGTTTATAAATATATTATCAGCTTTGTCATAATTCTTACTTAAACAATGAATGACTTCTCACTTTTGGCTTGATGACAGCAAAAAGATCCCTCCCAATGACCAGCTCCTGGGCGAAGCAGTAGTGCTCTTTGGACTGGAAAGCGATGCCAAACAGGCCCACAATGCAGGGGTGGCAGGACAGGTGTAGGGAGATGCAGTACTCTCGTAGAAAGCCCTGCAGTTTAGTGGAGGCTTTAGGCATCACTTTCAGGGCCATTGGAGTCCCTGCAGACCAACCACAGGGCAGCCATCGATGAGGGAAACAAGCACCGTTACTGCTTCCTTCAGGTTTCAGGTGCCACATGTGTGTTTATTTCAACACATTTATTTCCATATGCTGATCGCTGTTGGTTTTTCAGAACTGTGGTCTGCATTGATCTGTATATTTTGTTTACATTTACCAATTAACTGCTTTACTCACTGACTCATAAGCCACCATGCAGCAAAAGAGTTCAGCTGAGTATCTCTGATCAAAATGTTAATGTTTTTCAGCTGCCCTTTGATAATCATGGATCCCCTGTACAGAAGTTTTGACTTTATGACCCTTTAAAGATACAATAATTGGCTTTTAGTTATTGTTTAGTTATTGTATAAAAAAGATTTTTTACTTTTTGTGTAATTTTAGATAGAATGAAAATAAATCTTGAGTTTCTCTTTTTGAGCGAAATAATGAACAGTACTTTCAGGCTCCATTTATACAGCAAATAAATATTGATTTTCTTGGTTAATTCCATGTACATACATCCAGACTAGCAAATAATTGAAGTTTCAAACTAACAGTTAACGATCAGAAGAAAAGTGTTTCACACTTTCACAGCAAAGTTTGTGGATCGAGATCCAGAACTAAACTGTTCCAGTTTAGTTCTGGAACAGTTGAGAACCACTTTGAAATGACTGACATGTCTTATACGACCATTAGCTATAGATTTTGTAAGATTCTACACAAGAATACAGAGTAGTTGTTGGCAAAACTATAGTTTTGTAATGGCCTATTACAGAACCTTGTGGAACTTCCTAGGACACAGAGAAGAACCAGGAACATCATAATTCAACAGTCATGTTTTGCAGAATTCCATAATATAACTTAATAGCTCAGCAATTTTTCCTAAATAGGACAGTTTTGAGATTTGAAAATTCATAGCTGTCCAGTAATGTTTTTAAAAATTCAGATAAATAAGATTTGGTGATGTATGAATATAAACAATGAAAAGACTTGATGAATAATGCTTTACATGAATGTACATTTTATAATGTCGTTCATTTAAAGAAACTGCCCCCTGAGGCTGATTCATAAGCCACCATGTAGTAATAACTCTATTACTAACTGATAGTAATGACTCTTACCCCTAAAACGGTGAGTGACCAGCAGCACTTTGCCATATTTTCCCCGTCCGATCTCCTTGATGATGTTGAAATGTTCCTGGATTTCCAGCTGACCGATGCTCTGCGACGTCAACTCCATCAGCTCATCGATGAGGCACCCTTCAGCGAGACCCAGTTCAATCATCTTCTTCCAAAAACATAAAATAAATAAATTTGATTTTTTTTCTTTGCTTGCTTAAAATTTAAGAGACAGGGCTCACCTTAAAAAAATCATCTACTTTGCATGTTTAAGCATCCATTTACCTGAGTTCTAGCATCAAGTAAATCTCTAAATTGATACAAATTTGAGTAACTTTGATTCAAAAAAAACTTTTTATTGAAACAAAAAGTAAACTTTCTCTATTTTCTGTCTATTTAAAGCTTTTACGTCCATGATGCTAACAATGAAATCAGGCATTATGTTGATCTGCAGAAAAGATTTGTTCTATGTTGTTTGATATATATATATATATATATATATTATATATATATATTATATATATATATATATATATATTATATATATATATAATATTGATGGATAATCATGTGGTCTTGCCGCTGTCATGTACACAGCATGCATTGTCTTATTCTTGGTCGGAATCTTCATCACATAATCTACTAAAAAATGTAACTTCTTTTTTACATGTATAATTTACAACAGTCACTAAAAGTCACATTGACTAATAATGACAGTAGCACAAAATGATGTAATTTTTTTGGTTTAAACCTATAGTGTTTAAAATAGATTTTTATCAACTACTATTGTTTTAGTTTATTCAGTTAATTTCTGAAAATTCACTCTTTTTTAACAATGTCTTCATCATTATTTATATGGGTTTAATGACACATACAGTAAACTATCCAGCATGTATGTCAATAGTAAGTTATTAAACTCTGAGCTGTTGTTGTTAAATTGATGATAACAATGAGTAGATATTGATAACATCTCAAAACCTCTTTATGCTTACCTTTTCTCGAGGCTGCTCCAAAACACCGTCACTGGAATCTGAATAGCAAAGAGTGCAAATGAACAGAATGTCTACAGCTGGTAAATATACTCTGCAAATGCTGAATCAATGTCCTCCTTATTCCTTCTTCCAATTTCACTAGTGCTGCTGCAGCAAGTGTAACTCTGGAAGCTCTGCACTGTCCCTCTCACTGCGGTGTGTTCAAATGCTGTGAAACATCAGAGCCAGCTTTAACAGCTGATTACAAGCTGGCTCTGCAAAAGACACACACACACACACACATATGCACACACAACTTAGTATGTGTCATGAAAATGGTCCCCATAAGGTATTATAAACAAATGCGCACACACAAACTATTTTGAACGTCTACGCATATTAGGACTTTATGCACAATCCAGACATTTTCACTCATCTTAACCAATAGCTGTATTTTCGTAACCATAACCAAATGTAATTCATGCCTTATTTCTAAACCTAACCCCTCACCCAAAACAAAATTGTCCAATGTATCATGACTTGATTGTGGTCCACATAAGGCCCATTGGTCTTCAGGAGGTTGCTAAATACAGCGAAAATGGTCCTAGTTAGTGTTGGATGACCGAAATTACTAAAATGTCTGGCTTAGGTAGCATGTTATTATAATTAATAATTTATTATTAAGGAAGTAAATGTTGTGGTTGAATTTTCATTTAACTAATAGAAGAACAGCAGGAGCACCACCAGAGTATCTGGAATAACTAACCAAACACTTTCAGCTTCTCATGAATGAATGAATTCAACATCACTGGACAGCAGGCACATTTCACTCAAATGTTTTCTTATACAGTATGATAAATTATTAACAAAATAGCTTAACCCCAGCAAATTTTATATGTGGCCAGACCTATTAACTCCTTAGAGACCATTAAACCAGCATTTAAAAATGTCTAAATCATTTTATTTAACTAACTTATCTTAGTGCAGACACTTAGAAGATCCAGACACTTAGAAGATCCAACCTGTAAAGAAGATCCAACCTTTCTGTGAGACGATCAGTCTGAAAGTCAGATTGAAAATGATGTCCAGGAAGGGACTGGTCCAACAGACCAGGTGAGCTGGATGGCCAACTGGACACAGGACACAGAGTCTCAAAAGACCCAGTGGTTTAACGATCACATGGCAACCGCTCGGCGACGCGAGCGTACTTCCAAAATAGCAGGACAGCAAAGGATTTTATAAATCTCAGTTTCAGTCATTTGGGAACTTAAAATAATCTGGATCCACACATAGGAATTGTTAAAGGTTCTGCAGGGAACACTGAAGGTTTAATCTTCCTTCCTCGGGTTCATGAGTTTTTATCTTAGAACTTTCATACAACTTTGCAGAGGATTGTCAATATTTATCTAAACTTTCTGGACATTTGTATCTTTTTTCAAGACCTATTTTTATTCTTTGGCTTTTGATTCAAACTGTTTGAGATTTTTTATATATATACAGTTATGAAGTACATTTGTATTTTGTATTAATCTTACTTTTAACTATCTCATTATTATTGTTATTGTTTAATTGATTTGTATAGTATGTTGGTCAACATCTGTTGTTATTATGCCATATAAATAAATCGACAATAATATAGGATAAATCATGTCAGTTAACTTTATTCACATAGCTATAATGTAATCTTGTAGAGCACAACAAATGTGCTTTACAAGACAAATAGGTGTGATTTGGTTAAGTGGAATCCCAATTTTCGGTTATTCAGTTTTCTCAGATTCATTTATCAACTGATTTTTCTATGAAAGGTATTATGAGTCTTTTTGTCTATTAAAAAAAAAACTCACATGCTTAAATTTAGAAAGTCCTTTTGGTTTTTCTTTTTCTATCGTCTTTTCTATCTTCGCTTGATCTTTTGATCAGTGCTTCAGCCAAACAAAACAAACCATGACCAAGGTTTAGCAGTGACAGCTACAGACACTGCTCCTGTTTCACTCTGCCTTGCAGTGCGACATATCTTAGCATTTTATAACCTCCTAAAGTTCAAACTCCATCGATAATGTCTGACATTCCCAATTTTCCCAACGAGTCTAGTACCAGCTCAGAGAGATTCTTACTTTCATCAAGGTGTCTGAGTTGGGAATGCACTCAAGTAGTGCCACTCATGTGAAACAAATCCCTCAGTATGTCACCTTCATCCCAGGAAGACTTAATGGGGGTGTTGTTGTACCAGTGTGAGAGTAAAAGTGTGTGTTAATCTATGCTTCAATTGCCAGTAACTCACTCAACACTGTCTTCATACCATAGTGGTTATTTTTGGGGGAACCAAGCTGCCATGCTAAACAAATGATCCCAAGAAACAGATACTTTGTTAATCCTTCTGGAGTATAATGAGGTGTGAAGAACTCATAGCTCAGCTTCAAACTACAGAGGTCATTTTATTGGAAATAACAGCCAGAATGTCTGTATGTTTTTGGACAAGACACCTAAATTTAATGATCTACTCGACATAAGCACACAGCTTTAACATTCTGAGGCAAGTAATATGAAGCTATATGTAGAGTGTCCAAAACCTCCTAATGAAAGCTCCCTGCTACTGCTGGATGAGCTTACAGCCAGAGTGAGTAATTGTAGTTATGTAGTGGAGTGTGTTCTGAAATTTGTGATCATCATGTTACGCTGTCACCACATACATGGGTTAATGTCATACTTGAGATCTTTTCCTTCTAGGACTGTGCTGAGTCGTCTTCAAGGCGCCACAGACAGAGTCTCAGTCCAAATGTTCCCGCTTCTGTCCTCCATGTCCTGGAAGAATTCACTTACTGAGGTGTGAGAACTGATGTAGCAGCTCAGTGTATACGTTTAGACTATTTATTTTAGAAACGTTTTGGAATTAGTTTTCATGTAAAGAATTAGACCATATACAGGAAGTTGCGATGCAGTTTTCTGATCCGTGACATTCCTCTGGCGTCTGTCTTCAGTCAAGTTTGTGAGGCAGTGACGCGATCACGTCACTCTTGTTCCAAACCATACTGTTGTGACTCAGCTCATTCGTGAACAGCAGTTTATTGCTTGTAAGCATATGTTGTATAGCCAGACTGTTTCACTTTGGTTTTCTCTTAATTACCAAAGAGGAACAGGACAGAGGATCAGTTTCAATTGATGTGCAAAAAGAGTGAAACTGTAGCAGGAAGCAGAAGCAGAAATTAAGCAGCAAATGAATAACTCTGTCCAACAATAAAGGGAAACAGAATTTCAAAATCTGTCTCCAGATCAAGTACCATGTTAATCTGCCACTAATGTGCGAATTAAGTTCTTGTTACTTTATTATGTACAGGGTAATCCTGTAATATTGAAGGGCAGCTGTATTGTGGTGCAAAGACAATGAGGAAAAGTCTGTTTAGGGAGTACTTCATGTATAATAGTCAAAAACTGCCTGATTACTTAACTTATCTCAATCTAGCCTTGTTGGAAAGGTCATGATGTTCCTCAGGATAGTTGGGAAGAGCAAACAGATGTAGTGTAGCTTAATGTAATCTAATAAACACAGACTAATGTGAAATAATGACAGCATATAATTTTCTTCTTGTGGTGGATTGGTGACCCATCCAGGCTGTTGTCCAATCACTACTGGAGGTAGACTCCAGTCCCCATCACCCACAAGGATAAGTGAGGATTGACAATGGATGGATGGTTATTGTACTTTTTCTTCTGATAAAGATACAAGTTTTGATAAAAGACTTCAATTTTTTTCTGCTTTATAAAAAAAAAGGGGCAGCAATGTTTTGGAAATTTACCTACTAACACACTTGCTCTTGTTATTTTGGCTTTGATTGTGCTTGAACCTGCTGCAAGTTAAAATACAAGCATGGCATCAGACTCCAAGCATTACCAGCTGTTGTGGATAAAACCGATTATCATTGAGTCGGTTTTATCGTCCTGTTTAGTGTCCCGGTTCAGTATCCTCTCTCTTAACAACAAGATCTGCTTGAACCTAATAGTAAAATGGCCCAGTGAACCGACAGGTGGATTGTGGCTAAATCCTCAATGTCACTATGCTGTGAAAGTTTGCTATGAGACAGATAAATAAAAAGAAAATTAAGCTTCTATGCCTTTTCCATTGCTACTGTTTGCAAAAATGGAGTCAGAAACAATTAATCAGAGACCAAGGGAGGGTCTAATCACTGTCAATAATCATTGCGAATGCGTTCCTCAATGTGCTGATGGGAGAAAAACAACATAGACAGTTAATTGTGTCTCTGGTAACCAGCCTTCCTGACAACAGGGCAGTTGTGATGAAGAAGTAATAGCATAGCAGAGACCTATGCTATAGGGGGAGGATGAGAGAGGTGTGTAGACAAGAGAGACTGACAATCAGAGCTCTTCCTGGCTCTGATTGGTTTTTAATATTGACTACTTCCAATCAAAATTATATTTATATTTACTGTCATTTCATGCCCACTTTCCTAGTAGGCCAGAATGTTGACTCACCTAATTGTAACCAAATCTAAAGGTATAAACAAAGCTGATTGATTGATAGACCCATCATCAGGAATCACTATGACTGTAATAGAAATCCTGGACATGAAGTTCTGCATCGTTCTAGTCAAACCCTTGGTGACAGGCGGAACGCCTCGTACCTCGGTCATTTATATATTCCACATCAACAAATGAACAGTTTCAATTTTCCCTCACAGCTTTAACAAATTCTCCAGCTGCTGCTTTTGAACTCTCAAGTTTTAACAAACACCTAATCATTGACCAACATGTTTCCATGACAACTAAATAATCAGTTTTTATAAACATGAGGATAACAAAACTGATCATTATTCACCTGAGAATAACCAAGATTACCATTTGTATCATGAAGGATGTACTGAAAAACATGATGCTTCATCTAACATTGTGTTATGTCCAGATGTGAAGACTTTTGAACTTTGACCTAAGGTTTTCTGATGCGTGAAACGGAGGGTCACAGTTCACAATTTCTTTGACCGTCAGTTCAACCATGTCAGTCATCTTTAGATGTCTGTAAAGGTCCGATGAGTCCCTGTGGGACCTACAGCTTTAAAGCTCAGAACTCTGTTAGCTTGGTGTGATGACACACACTCGCTATGTACAATTGTGGGTACGGATATTTCCTGGTTTTTACTTTAGTATATTTTATTATTCAGTAACACTACAAACCAAAAATGGCAAAGATGTAATAACCTCACAGAAAAGTCTTGAATCTATGTGCAAAGTGTGCGAGAACTGCAGAGCTGACGCTGATGCAAGTTACCTGGAAGACGTCCAAGACTGTTGGAGCTTGTATCCAAAAGTTACAAGCTTTTGTTCATTCCATAAAAACTGAAACTACAGTTTGAAGACTCATTCTTCCTTTAAAATTTAGTTTCACACAAAGTGCGCCTCTGATCTATTACTCTGTGAGTTGTTAGCAGGCTTTTTGAGGAATTACTTACTAAACATTTTGGTGCTTGATCTAAATACTTTGCTGAAAACCAAAGTCATAAATGAAGGACATCATAAGTTCTTGAAGCCTATATGAGGCTACTACTGCATACCTCTGCTGTGTATGTGAAGCACTGTAATAGTTGTGGGGGTTGGGGGGTGGTGCACTGTACCTTAATATAGAAAACTTAGTAAGTGGATGGAAAGAAAAAATGGAATTTACAACAGCATGCGTGTTGATAGAGAAGGTGAGGACAGCTTGCCTGGGTTCGGTTACAGACTGGCATCCCACTTTGTGGTGGGATCTGCCAGTCTAATGGAGACGTACACATATGAACTCATAACCATTTGCTTACTGAAGCTTTATATTTACCTATCAGCAAATGGACAACATCCCTCACTGAGCTGCGATTAGGGTTTGTTTTCAGAGATATGTAGTTCAGAAGCATATAAAGCTTTCAGACTCTTAGTTTATGTCACAAAAAAATCTTACAACTCTTGCATATTTAAAGCTAAATTGCACAAATAATAAATAATAATAATAATCAAACCTATTAATATGTAATTCCAGACATAATATACTTCCAGCATCACTCGTTGTTATAATTCTTTAAATAGATGCTGTGCTCATGCTGTGAGTGACGCCCAGAAGGATCTCTGGGACCTGTCCACTCCTCAGTGATGTATAGCAAGTCTGTGATTCTCTTGGTCATTGATCCAGACTGATACTCTGGAACTTGGATGCAGCTAAAAGAAGGAAGCAATTTGACATCTGACTCATTGAATCTGTTCTAAATACAGAAATGGAAAAGACCAACAAACAACTGTGATATCGACCTGCCAACGGCTGTACCCAGGCCAACGACGGTGCTGACATCACATTCACATGCACCTTCTCCAGATTTATGGCATTTAGCATTGCTTTTGACTCTTCCTCCATTTTATTCAGATATTATTCTTCTCAGACAGGGTTTCATATATATATATATATATATATATATATATATAAGGTAACAAGGAGGGAAGTGAGCCAACTGTCAGAGCTCCACAAGGGTGCAATGAAAAGACCAGTACCCATAAAGTACAGGCAGATGCCCATACCTGAAGCACTCGAGACTGCCAAACAGAGGCTCCAAGCCTTGTCCAGCCGCCTAAAGAGATACACAAGGGAGAATGAATCCAGAAGGATTAACCGGCTCTTCTCCACTCAACCAGCTAAGGTGTACTCTCAATGGCAGGGTAACAATAACAACAGAGCAGACCACCAAGGCTGGAGACGGAACAATACTGGAAAGGCATATGGGAAAGGGAGGCGTCCCACAACAGCAATGCACAGTGGCTGATCTCTCTACGAGAGGACCACAGCAACCTCCCTGAGCAAGCCCCGGTAACCATCACTGTGACAGATGTCCAAGAAAGAGTCTCAGGTATGAAAAACTGGACAGCACCAGGGCCTGACATGATCCATGCCTACTGGCTAAAGAAACTCACTGCTCTCCATGAGCGAATGGCAGCCCAAATGAACCAGCTGCTACAAAGTGGGACTCACCCTGAATGGTTAACTGAAGGGCGGACAATCCTAATCCAGAAGGATCCATCAAAGGGTCCAGTCCCACCCAACTACCGACCAATAACCTGCCTCTCCACAACCTGGAAGCTCATGTCAGGCATCATAGCGGCCAAGATAAGCAAACACATGGATAAACACATGAGCACGGCACAGAAGGGTATCGGTGTAAATAGCAGAGGAGCCAAACACCAACTCCTCGTAGACCGCACAGTTGCCCGAGACTGCAAAACCCGACACACCAACCTGTGCATGGCTTGGATTGATTACAAGAAAGCCTATGACTCAATGCCGCATACTTGGATCATTGAATGCTTAGAGATGTATAACATCAACAGGACTCTGAGAGCCTTCATTGCAAACTCGATGAGGCTGTGGAAAACCACCCTTGAAGCCAACTGCAAACCACTTGCACAAGTGTCCATCAAATGTGGCATATACCAAGGAGATGCTCTGTCCCGCTACTGTTCTGCATAGGCCTGAACCCCCTCAGCCAAATTATCAACAAGACTGGCTACGGATACAGACTCAAAAATGGGGCCAATATCAGTCACCTACTCTACATGGATGACATCAAGCTGTACGCCAAGTGTGAGCGAGACATCGACTCACTGATCCACACCACCAGGATCTACAGCACTGACATTGGGATGTCATTCGGACTAGAGAAATGTGGTCGGCTGGTCACAAAGAGGGGGAAGGTCATCCACACAGAAGGGGTCTCACTCCCAGAAGGAACAATAGCAGACATAGAGGACAGTTACAAGTACCTAGGTATACCACAAGCAAATGGCAACCTCGATGAGGTCACAAGGAAAGGAGCCACAGCTAAATACCTCCAACGAATAAGGCAAGTCCTGAGAAGCCAGCTCAATGGCAAGAACAAAATCCGTGCGATAAACAGCTATGCCTTGCCAGTAATCAGATACCCTGCTGGAATAATTAGCTGGCCAAAGGAGGAGATAAAAGCCACAGATATTAAGACCAGAAAGCTACTAACAATGCATGGAGGGTTCCATCCCAAATCCAGCACCCTGAGACTGTACACGAGCCGCAAGGAAGGAGGCAGAGGACTAGTGAGTGTGAGAACCACTGTCCAGGACGAAACAACTAAGATCCATAAATACATCAGAGACAAAGCCTCAACAGACAATGTGCTCAGTGAATGTCTCAGACAACAGGGAACGGAGGTCGAGGTGCCAGAGATACCATCATGGGAGGACAAACCCCTACATGGGATGTACCACCAGCAAATAACCCAAGTGGCTGATATCAGTAAATCCTACCAATGGCTGGAAAAAGCTGGACTCAAGGACAGCACAGAGGCCCTCATCCTGGCAGCCCAGGAACAGGCCCTAAACACCAGAGCAATAGAGGCCCAGATCTACCACACCAGACAAGACCCAAGGTGTAGGTTGTGCAAGGAGGCCCCTGAGACAGTCCAGCACATCACAGCAGGGTGCAAGATACTTGCAGGGAAAGCGTACATGGAACGACATAACCAAGTGGCAGGCATAGTGTACAGAAACATCTGTGCAGAATATGGACTGGAAACCCCGAGATCAAAGTGGGAAACACCCCCAAAGGTGGTGGAGAACGCCAGAGCTAAGATCCTGTGGGACTTCCAGATCCAGACAGACAAAATGGTAATGGCGAACCAACCAGACATTGTCGTAGTGGATAAACATCAGAGGAAAGCCGTTGTGGTAGATGTAGCAATACCAAGTGATTGCAACATCAGGAAAAAGGAGCACGAGAAACTAGAGAAATACCAGGGCCTCAGGGAGGAACTGGAGAGGGCCTGGAAGGTGAAGACCACAGTGGTGCCTGTGGTCATCGGGGCCCTCGGGGCAGTAACCCCCAAACTGGAGCAGTGGCTACAACAGATCCCAGGAACAACATCAGACATCTCAGTCCAGAAATGTGCAGTCCTTGGCACAGCCAAGATACTGCGCAGAACCCTCAAGCTCCCAGGCCTCTGGTAGAGGACCCGAGCTCAGAGGATAAGAACCACCCGCGGTGGGTGAGAAGGGAATTTTTTATATATATATATATATATATATATATATATATATATATATATATATATATATATATATATATATATATATAAACTGATCAAGGTTGTGTGTTGACAGGATCAAATCCTCTGAGCCTGACTTTCTTTTGAGGGTCCCACAAGGCTCCATTCTTGGTCTTCACATTTTATTTTTATTGATTTTCAAGACAGCTGCATAAATCCAAAGTACTAGTAATTCTTACACATGCAAATATTTCCGTTAAGCATTTTTAAATTTCACATCAGCATAAAAAGCTTTTAAATCTTGTGAATCTTTTCAAATGAAAATGTCATTTACCCTCTAAAATCTTTTGGTGTCATGCTTTGTGGAGGTGTGGACCCACATATCACAGACACAGAGGCAGCAACTGAGTTTGATGATTTAAGTCCAGGTGAGCACTGAAGCTACAAGCTTAGACCCTGGTGGCACTGGAAAACTTGACAACACAACGACAGGACAAATGACAGCCAAGACAATAACATGTTGGGGAAACACAGACACAGGTGGGTTTAAATACACAAGAGGTAATCAGGGAACACGAGACGAGACGAGACGCAGATGGGAGGAACCAGGGCAGACAAGACGACACAGAAACTAAATTGAAACAGATAAACCAAATCCTTACATCGAGGTGATATTATATTTAAATGTCTGTCTGTGAGGAGAGAAGCTATATTTTGTACCCACATATCAACATCTTTGGTTATTTTTGAGTTCAATTTCAGCTTTCAAATGTCAAAAAACATTTGGAAAAACTGTACTAATCAACTAAGACCATATGTAATAGTTTATACTGCCTTTTTGTATGCAATGATGGTTTTTATAACCTTTTTGAAAAGTATTTTTTGAAAAAGCTATGAAAGCTTTGCTGTATTACAGACCACTACAGGATATCCTCCCTTCTCACAGCTAAGACTTCACACAATGACTTTTAAAGAAATACAGACGATGAGCTACATCAGTATTTAATTTGTCTTTAGGATTCAAGCAGTTATTTTGATATGAAGTTAAATTCAGGCTTTTTACATTTAAACACATGAAACATTATGGCACTAATTACAATGGTTAAAGTAAAAATAGAAATAAAGGCAGTCTAAGCTCATGCAAAGAATAACATAAATTAATAAATTTAACAAAACAAAATGAATCAACAATATATCATAATATATTTAGAAGACTGCAAAAATGTTCTGATGTTTAATAAAAGAATAAACTAATTATTTACCAACAATAAAGGAGCAACACTTTGACTCACTCTCCCTGTCAATCTTATTTCTTTTGTTCTTTTAAAACTTGCCTTTCCCTGAAATCTGTGTTTCACTTCCTTTGTTACTTTTGTTTTGAATGGTAATTATTTCTCATGATGTCTGGTGTTTCTGTTTTCTTCATTCTGTGGTTGTGTTGGTCAACCATTTTCTTCTAGCTCAGCTTCAGTTACTTGCTTTCTTTTAAAGTTGCACCAGTTTTTAATACACCACCTCATTTTTTAAGAAATCACCTCTCCAGCTGAAATGTCACTCAGTCCTTCCTGTCTCCTCTCTTGTTAGTTTTTCTCATTTAATAAATCACTTGTAATGACATGATCTTGTTGATATTTTTGTCCTCCCACAACTTTGCACACGACGACACAGCGACCATTTTATTTTCACATAGGTTTTTTGATCTAATCAAGTGTTCATGCCAAACTTGGCAGATGATGGTAATCCTGCTTTGTGCTAATATTAAAAGCTACAGGCAGCTAGAAATGTAATCTGTCTTATTAAGGTGATGTTATTTAAAAAATTAAAAAATTATATGTACATATATATATATATATATATATATATATATATATATATATATATATATATATATATATATATATATATAATATATATATATATATATATATATATATATATATATATATATATATATATATATATATATATATATATGAGACGATGTAATTATGCAGTCATGTACTGTGTACTTCACTATGACCCAGGCACAGCCATATTCTTATATAGACTAAATTCTTTGAAGCTAAATATTTGTTTTGTATCTATTTTGGTCTTACTAATTTTCAACTTTCATCTATTGATACTCATTTTCAAATTTTTTAACTTGCACCACATTATCTTTCCAGGTTGCATCAACATTCACGTAGACATCTTCTTCATCAGTGCTTTCTTCATCATCTTCAGATCTTTGTTCTGATGACGCATGGACCTTGACACCAAGACCGATTTGTCTTAAATTAGGCTCTGCTTCCACATAAACATCATCACTTATTGACTCTCTGTCCATCTCCAGCTTCTTTACTGAGCGAATTGCATCAATGTTTTCATAGTCGTCGCAATCATTCTCGAGGTCTTGTATGTTTAACTGCTGGAAAGTCACTGGAAAAAAAGGAAACAAATGAATTTATGAATAAAATGTAGAAATTATTGTAAAGACATGAGCTTGTATCCCTTGATTACATACTTTGGTTCTGGCCAGACGGTTTGGACCGTTCAGAGCAAAGTTTCCTCCTGTAGCCCAGACAGACTGCTAGAGACACCAGCAGAACCAGCAGCAGGATTCCACTGGAGACTGAGGAAACCAGCAGCAGTGAAGAGGCTGGGAGAGAAAACGCTTGGTCAGTTGATGGCTCTAAAACCTGCATTTTACAAACGTTTTCAGGCTGAGGAACACTTAACCTATTTAACAAACAGTAACAGACCACCTAACTTGAAATTGCCCAGCAGTAATACATTAAAAATATTGGGGTTTTTTTTGTTTTGTTTATCCATTCTGTTTAGTAAGTGGGAATGGCCACGACAAAGCCATGGTCAAGTCTATTGGGGCATTGTGAGTCTTTTCCTAACTGTCTTCAGGTCTCTTCTGCTATCACAGCTGTGGAAACATCTGGAAGCTTCTTTAATGGAAAAACACATCTTGCAGAAATTACAGTCACAGCAGATATAATCAGAAAATAAATGGTTAAAAATATCATCTGTTCCATCAAAGATGAAATAAGGCTAAAAATGAAATTTTCTATTACATCTGCTGAGAAAGTAATGCTTCTGTTGCATGTAATGTGCCAATTCCACGATAAGAAGCTTGCCAGAAACTTTCTGCACTGTAAACAACCACCCTCCACTGCGAGGAGAGAAATTAATTCAATATTTAGGAGTGAGACCAACATGGACTGAACACCTTTGTTCATTTTCTCCGCTGCCATTACAAAAGCTACAGTGTACTTTTAGTTGGTGTATGAAAATATCTGTATTCAACTTTAAGTATTGCTTTCTGAACGTACATCAGGTGGTAGATTAGAAACAAGATGCAGCTGAAAGGAAGGGCAAGTAGCTTAAATAGAAATGAGGAAATGGCTGAAAACGTGGGAACAGACATTCTGCTTTATGATTGGAATCATCATTTGAAAAACAAATGTTGTGTTTTTCTTGATTTGACATGTTTATCTAATATTATTAATAATAATAATAATAATAATAATAATAATAATAATAATAATGATGATGATGATGATTATTAATAATATTGCCTTGAGGAGATTAGAGGAATACACAGTAAGGTATTTTACTCAACGTTTGACATTGAAATATTCTTCTCTCAAATATACATAGTGACTTACATTTGATGATGAGACTAATGGGTTCTGCCTCATCAGAACCGAACCTCTGTGTAGCCATGGTAACCTCATACACACAGCTGTAGTTGCCCTGGTGTTCAAACTCAGCAGCTGGGAAGTTAAAGGAGGCCGAGTTTTTGACTGCTGGCCTGGTTTCTGTGATGTTGGATCCAGAGAAGATGAGAGAGAAATCTCCCTGAGGAAATCTGGGGTCAATGGAGCAAATGAAGGAGAAGCCGTAACCTTTGGTAACCTCTGCTCCTCCTGGACCCCAGACCAACCCTCCAACTGGGGATGTCAGGGAAATGATGGGTCTGGACAGATTCACTGGAGTAAACATGGAATAGAAAAATATTTTTCCACATAAAGGCATTTGAGAAGATGAATTATGGATTTTCCATAAATATTTCGTAGACTAAATATTCACTGTTTGCACAATTTATTTAATCTTACCTCTAAGACGAACAGAGTTACTGAAGGGAGAGGTCCATGTTTGGCTTGACACCCTTTGCTCATACTGACACTTAAATTCTCCATCATGATCCAGAGTCACTTTAGGGATGTTGAAGGTAGCAGAGGAAGAAACTGAATACTGAGTCATTCTGAATGATCCTGAAGTCTGTCGGAGGATAAATGTTCCACTTAAAGGCGTAGCAGCAATAGAACAAGTGATGCTGAGTGGTTGACCCCAGGTGACCTCATCAGAGCCTATAGAGATGCTGGGCTTGGGAAGGTTCACTAAAAAACAGTAAGTTGTGAGAATAAAAGTTTATTTATTTCTGCAACTGAATGACTCTGAAAATAATCATCTTTTACTGTCAGTTTATTTATTTTTTGTGGTCTGAAGGCCCGATGGAGACAGTGCCTGGCAGCTGGGCTCTGAACTATGTGGAAGATTTTTATATCACTTTACAACAAATATCAACTTCCAAGATATAAAATGTTTCAATTGTCTTTTCAAAAAGGGGTTATGTTTTTTTGTTGTTTTTTTTTTCTTTTTTTACAACCATACAATCCAAAGGAGATTGTTTTTTTTTTTTATATTAAAAATGATAAATTTGCTAATGTCAGTATATACTAATGGATGATCTGATTCACTGAGAGTGAAAATCAAATAGTGAATCCATTTTAAACAACTGATTGTACTGCTGAAGTTTCACTATTCACACAATTTATTTAATCTTACCTCTAAGACGAACAGAGTTACTGAAGGGAGAGGTCCATGTTTGGCTTGACACCCTTTGCTCATACTGACACTTAAATTCTCCATCATGATCCAGAGTCACTTTAGGGATGTTGAAGGTAGCAGAGGAAGAAACTGATGGCTCAGTCATTCTGAATGATCCTGAAGTCTGTTGGAGGATAAATGTTCCACTTAAAGGCGTAGCAGCAATAGAACAAGTGAAGCTGAGTGGTTGACCCCAGGTGACCTCATCAGAGCCTATTGAGATGCTGGGATTTGGAAGGCTCGCTGAAAAACAGTAAGTTGCGAGAATAAAAGTTTATTTATTTCTGCAACTGAATGACTCTGAAAATAATCATCTTTTACTGTCAGTTTATTTATTTTTTGTGGTCAGGCAGCTTCACCTCTGTCAGACTGATCACATGATAAAATGTTATAAAAATATTTAAATCTGGAGAGTGGAAACTACAAACTCACTGAAACACAGTAAATGGGAAAATAAAGCACACTTCTGTTAAACAAGGTTAAGGTTTATCCATCCGTCCTTCATTCCCTGACACCTTTATCTCCTTGGGGTCAGAAAGGGAGCTGGTGTCTATCTCCAGCTGTCAACGGGCAAGATGGACTGGTGATGCCCTCGACGGGTCGCTAGTCCATCGCAGGGCAAAGATTCATTCATAAGCAATTTACATCTGAATTACACTCCATGTAAAAAAAAAAAAAATCATCCCAATTCTAAAGTTCTTCCACTGGCACAACTTCCTCAGCAAAAAGCAAAAGCAGTAGAATCTATGTTTTATGTCAGCTCTAAAAGAGAAGCTTGTGTCGAAGGTTATGGTGTAAGTTTGTGTTGCAAGTTGTTGGGGACAAGGAGGAGCGGTGGGGTGATGAAGCACCCAGTTATCGGAAGGCTTTTTCTTTTTTGTGATAAGAATATGGCCAAAACTTAAACATGACCACAATACATTAAAGATCTGCTGTTGTTGCAACAACCTTCCAGATCTCTAAGTGTATAATGTGTGTATTGATGATCTTGATGATGACTAAATGTAATGATTGTCACTGGTTTCTCAATAGTTGACTGCATTTTGTTTTTGTGACATCTTGTGGTTTCACCATGTACAGCACTTTGAACTGCCTTGTTGCTGAAACATGCCATACAAATAAACAGGAGTGATTGATTGTTGAACTAAACACAGTCGCTAATATGAAAGAAAATATTATAAATAATATAAACAAACCCAGCACCATGTTCAAGAAACGCCGAGTCTTGACACAGAAAAATGTGCCGATGATGAGAATCAGGTCATTTTTAAATAGCACTGATTGGAGATTCAGTCAATTTCTGATCAGTTAATACATCAAACATTAGAATACCTTTCATTTTGTGTATAGGTTGGTTTCAGACAAAAAATGTACTGGCCATTACATCTGAACATTTAAAAGTGATCATTTAAGTGCTATTATAAATGTTAATGTATTGCATAGGGGCTAACTGATGTATGATAGTTGTATAAATCCAGATCTACAATGAAAATGAACTATGGACTTTCAAGAATATTAATCTGACTGGAATGGCAACACATCTTACAGTATGTTGTGTTGTCACTGTCTTTTATTGTTAATTGTTTGCTTCTGCACAGCAATAAATATAAGGAGGAATAAACTGCAGGGTGGGACAGTTCAGCAACACAACAAGCCTTAACCCTTCAGTAAAGCCATCTTGTTTTTCCTCTAGTGAACAACACATATTAGTGGAGTGTCATCAGTTTAAGCTAAAGAAACAGAGACAAAATGTTTTTTGAAAGGATGAAAGGCTGTTTGTGTGCTGGGAACATCAGTAAAGGCAAAGCTAAACATGTGATTTATGGGACTTGTATTCGAAGACATCCCACGATTCTGTACATTGACAACAGAGACACAGGAGGTTATATCCTCCAGAGAGTCTTGTTCTCAAAGAAATATGTCTCCTAGAAATATTTGTGGTCAAACAATGGAGAGAAAAGAAAGAGCTTCAATTTAGATAAAGTCCAATAAATGTAATCATGCCAATCAGATATATGTATTTTTAGTTCCTGACACTTCTGCTACTTTCTGTTCTGCATCTAATGCAAAAGCTAAATCTTGTTGGCAGAATAAGTAACTGTGTTACAAATCATAGGAATCAATTTCTGATCAGTGAACAAACAACACACAAGCTCTACCTTTCAATTTGTGTTAAAATGATTTCAATCAGAAAATACACTGGCTAGTATATCTGAACATTTAAAATCAAACATTTAAATATTTGTAAATCATTTTTCCTTTACCTGAACAGATCACACCAGCATCCTCACTATGACCACAGTTATGTCTCCCATAACCGTTGTGTCTACAGCTGGTTAGAGACCTTTCATATCCTGAGCACTGAACATCATCAAGCAAGATTTGTCCAAATCCTTCACCAAAGTGAGCAGAACCTGGTGCACTGAGTGCTGTACGACAGCCCAGCTGTCTACAAACCACTTCAGCATCAGTCATGTCCCAGCCGTCATCACAAACCGTTCCCCAGTTATATCTATAGAAAACTTCAACCCTTCCAGAGCACCGAGTTGATCCAGAACCTGCCAACCTGACCTGACCTATAAGAACAAAATTGAATATGATGATGTTAATGTTCTGATAAGAGTAAAATACTTTTATGTACTATGGAAATAGAAAAGACAATCTGACCTGTAATGAATGCTGATGAAGTCAAAACAAGCACAACTGTAAGATAAACACTTGGACTGTTATTTTCTTAATTGATAGTAAGAAGTTTATGCAAAATATAACATTGGTTATCTGTTTATCAGGAAAGTTATGAAACAAAGAAATGTTGTCAAAAATGATAAAAACTTGAACTTACAGAAAAAGCCTGTAAAAAATTGAAGCTTTTTGTTCCACATAGCTGCATGTAGCTTCACTGTGTTCTTCAACTGGTGTTCAGAAACACATTTGGTTTCTCACTAAGATCATTACTGAGACACTTCCTCTTTACATATGTGGTTTTAAAATGTTACTGAGCTCAGGAAAAAACCACTTCTTTAAACAGTAACACTGTCCATGTTGTCATGAAAGCACATTAACCTGATCCTCCTTCATTCACTGCACTTCAGAGCAGCCTTTAAGATGTAATGTAACATTTGTTTTATAGCTGAAATCACAGCCTCAGCAGATGTGGTAGCATTGAAGTGGGCTTTAAGACAAACAACCTCACACAGCACCTAAGGGAAATTTAGAGGATGATAAGTAGAATGATGAGTGTTCTCCCATGCAGTGCTTTGCAGAGGCTCAAGGAACTCTGGAGTGTGAGTACTGTAATGGTGTTAACCTCAAAGACAGTGTCTGAAACATGTAAGTTTCACCGAATCCTCCTGAGTATTTACCAGTATTCAGGGAGTGTCAACAGCACAACTTCCTCAGCAAAAAAGAAAAAGCAGTAGAATCTATATTTTATGTCAGCTCTAAAAGAGAAGCTTGTGTCGAGGGTTATGGTGTAAGTTTGTGTTGCAAGTTGTTGGGGACAAGGAGGAACGGTGGGGCGCTGATACACCCAGTTTTTACACCCAGGCTTTTGCTTTTTTGTGATAATAATATGGCCAAAACTTAAACGTGAATTATGCCATACAGTCTTTTTTAATAACTTAGGACTTACGTCCTGATGATGCTTGTCAGATTAATAGTATCTTTTCACAATAACCGTTAAGCAGGTATGAAACATACTACAAAATATAAATATGTTAAAACATATGTAATTAAACTACACATGTATGATATATATATATATATATATATATACTCAAGGACAGCACAGAGGCCCTCATCCTGGCCGCCCAGGAACAGGCCCAAAACACCAGAGCAATAGAGGCCCAGATCTACCACACCAGACAAGACCCAAGGTGTAGGTTGTGCAAGGAGGCCCCTGAGACAGTCCAGCACATCACAGCAGGGTGCAAGATACTGGCAGGGAAAGCGTACATGGAGCGACATAACCAAGTGGCAGGCATAGTGTACAGAAACATCTGTGCAGAATATGGACTGGAAACCCCGAGATCAAAGTGGGAAACACCCCCAAAGGTGGTGGAGAACACCAGAGCTAAGATCCTGTGGGACTTCCAGATCCAGACAGACAAAATGGTAATGGCGAACCAACCAGACATTGTCGTAGTGGATAAACATCAGAGGAAAGCCGTTGTGGTAGATGTAGCAATACCAAGTGATTGCAACATCAGGAAAAAGGAGCACGAGAAACTGGAGAAATACCAGGGCCTCAGGGAGGAACTGGAGAGGGCCTGGAAGGTGAAGACCACAGTGGTGCCTGTGGTCATCGGGGCCCTCGGGGCAGTAACCCCCAAACTGGAGCAGTGGCTACAACAGATCCCAGGAACAACATCAGACATCTCAGTCCAGAAATGTGCAGTCCTTGGCACAGCCAAGATACTGCAGGACCCTCAAGCTCCCAGGCCTCTGGTAGAGGACCCAAGCTCAGAGGATAAGAACCACCCGCGGTGGGTGAGAAGGGAATTTTTTTATTTTATATATATATATATATATATATATATATATATATATATATATATATATATATATATATATATATATATATATATATATATATATATATATATATATATATATATATATATATATATATATATATATATATAATGTCTTTCACTTGGTGATGGAATTGCTCACAAAGGAAAATTTCAGTCATATAATTTATGAAATGTCTGTATGTTTGATCAATGCTTGCTTGCATACAGTTGAGAACAGTTTCACAATTTAGTAATATTATTGTGATGCATGATCACAGTTGCCTTTTATTGTCTGATCTTATCAAGTTCTCAAAAACATCAACAGCGTTGGGTTCTGCAGCAATCGAAAGGTTGTTAAAAATTTCAAAAACAGAACGTCTGTGTAAACTAAGTGACTCCTTGTCAGTGTAAACTTTGTATTTTTCAATTATGTGAGTTTAACTCTCCCTGAATTGGCATAAGCCTGCTGAATTACACATAGCAGATGAGATATGATATGTCTTTAATATAATAAATATTAAATATATGTGTGTCTTTAATATTACAATTATAAGCAGAGGGGACCTCGTGCTTGTATTGAAGCTGTTTGACTCTGTGGTCAGAAAATTTCCCCCAATACCCGCCCAAATATTTATGGAGAATCTCTACTAGTAGGTCTCCCTATAAGCAAATCATACATGCTGTAAATCATGACCTCTCAAGTGATGTCCAGACTGGAAGGCTGGCTGGATCAGAATCAGTTTGAGGCAGCAGTGAAGCTCTACTGGCCTAATATAAATGTACTGGGTTTAATACTAAAAGCTTAGTTTTTCCCGCCAACTTAAGAAACTCAAGTTCTGGAAAAGATGCAGAAATGTCTCCTAGATAGGTTAAATGCATTGCCCGTCAGACAATGTGGTAGCCGGGTTTAAGCAATCAGAAAGTGAATAAAGAGTCGACATGAGAGTCACTTTTCTGCTCACGGATCTTCCAGACAAATCATGGCAGAAGACAAAACCTGTTTGCTTATGGAGAGCTCAACCCAGTCTGCTCCTGTCATTATGTTTTTAAAATATTCATGTGAAAATTAAGATATTTTGGTATTCATATAAAATATGAATATTACCAAATGCTCAGCCAAGAGAAACGATTTAAAAAATAACACTATTGGATGTGAATTACAAAACTTTAATCAGGTAATAATTACACTTTAGGTTGCAGACATATGTTAGCGATTCTGATAGTGTTTAGCCCTTGCAGGTCTTCTCTGCCAAAACTTATGTAAACATGCCATAATGTACTTCACTGCAGATCAAACATGTAATCTATGTTAAATTTTCATTTTTTTTAAACTAAATAGCTATTTTATAATTCATATCAACATTCACACAATCATCATCTTCATCTTCAGTGCTTTCTTCATCTTCTTCAGATCTTTGTTTTGCTTCTTTTATCTCTACTCCACTGAATCGTCTTAGATCAGGGTCTGCTTGACATCAATATTTTTGCTAGTCATTATAATCGTTCTCGTCGTCTTTTGTGATTAAGTGCCGGAAAGATACTGAAACAAAGAGAAACAAAAGAACTTATGAATAAACTGCAGAATAGCAATTAGTTCATTTTAAATGCAAAACTCGTATTTCTTGATTACAGACTTTGGTTCTGGCCAGACGGTTTGGGCCGTTTAGAGCAAAGTTTCCTCCTGCAGCCCAGACAGACTGCTAGAGACACCAGCAGGACCAGCAGCAGGATTCCACTGGAGACTGAGGAAACCAGCAGCAGTGAAGAGGCTGGGAGAGAAAACGCTTGGTCAAAGTGTTTACATTGCTCGAAACATTCCAACTCCTGAAACCGGACATGTTCTACTGAAATGAGTTGATGATCTGCTGAGCTGCTTAAAAGCAATACATTTTCATATATATATATATTTTTTTTTACTTGAATAAAAGTAATTTTCAAGCAAAGATTTACTTTAGAAAAAACTAGTCAAACCGACCGGCACCACCTTCCTGGTTAAAACACTGTTAAAATATGAGGCCCCTGAAGCCCTGGGGGCCTTATGGAATTACAAAGAAATGCAAATAATTGATATTCATTTTAATTGCATTTTTTGATTACACGTTTTTAAGACTAGTTGTGGTTTTAAATGGGATTTCACTGATGATGTTTTCCAGTAACATTTAATAACCGAGTAACATTTTTACATTTCCTGTCAACTTAACATCTTTCAATACCGCCTCAGCACCCCGGCCACCGGGCTTTGCAAGTTTTCTGGGGGAATCTTAACTTGAAAGAAAACATGGGATTCAAAAAGACTGACAAAAGTGCAAATAAAGCAAAACACAAGACCACATTTTATGATACAAGCAGTTCTTAGGTTATGGGAGAAATTAATTTTTTTTAAAAGGCAGATACATGGTTTGTATATTTCTTTTCGTAACTGAAATCATCATTTGAAAACAGACATATTGTTTCTGGTTTGGCTTGTTTACCTAGCTTTGACAGAGAACAGGAATACGCAGTATGTCATTTTGTTTTTAAAGGTTTTATTATCTCTGGTGCCCTTTATTTGATAGTGAATTGACAGGAAAGTGGGTAAAATGGGAGAGGTGAAGACATGCAGCAAAAGTAGCCAGCCTGGGAATCTAACCTGCAACAACCACGACCAGGTTTAAGGCCATGTGGATTGTGCTAAGCCCCTGTGCCACCACAGCATCCCAACACACTATGTAATTTAAATCATTTTTTTTAGATTTAAATTCTATTGTTACTTACATTTAAGAACCAGACTAATGGGTTCTGCCTCAGCAGAACCGAACCTCTGTGTAGCCATGGTAACCTCATACACACAGCTGTAGTTGCCCTGGTGTTCAAACTCAGCAGCTGGGAAGTTAAAGGAGGCCGAGTTTTTGACTGCTGGCCTGGTTTCTCTGATGTTGGATCCAGAGAAGATGAGAGAGAAATCTCCCTGAGGAAATCTGGGGTCAATGGAGCAAATGAAGGAGAAGCCGTAACCTTTGGTAACCTCTGCTCCTCCTGGACCCCAGACCAACCCTCCAACTGGGGATGTCAGGGAAATGATGGGTCTGGACAGATTCACTGTGGGTAAAGAAAAATACAATCTTGTGAATATACACTATAAAAAAAAGAAAATATATATATATTTTATGGCTATCCAGTTAGGCTTTATGATGCAAATGAATGAGGTTTGCTTGAAAATATTACAGTTTTATTTGTAACTGAGATTCTCTAACAAACAAATAAAAAAAAATTAAAAAAAAACACTTTCACTTTTAATGAGGATTCTGTCAATAACTGTGTGACAAGTAGAAGAGCTGTTGTCCTGCTTTATGAACACAAAGGGAACAGAGTCAAGAACTTGCTGCCTTGAATGAATTCTGGGAATGTTTTGTTTGGAGAGTTAAAAGTCATGCAGTAAAAACACATAAGGGGAGGCACACTTGACTTCAATGCACAGTAATTAGATTCTCGAAGGCAGACCCCTGCCTTAGACTTTGTAACATTTCATATAATCAGTGTTCCAAGCCCAGAGTAGCCAATGAAAGGCAAAGCTTTTCGCCAGCTGTAAAGATTATTTTGGGATATGATATTCCTGTGAGCAGTATGATACGACTTCTGTGTAATTATAACAATATCAAAGAAAATGTAAAAGTAAAGGACAGGTATCTGATTAAGATGATGTTAATTTCTACCAAGAAAGCTATTTGGAGGACATGGAGAAAGGTGGACCCTCTTATCACGAACAGTGGATTAGGATGACAGAAGAACTCTACATCATGGTAAAATTGACATATCTCCTCAGATTATATAAAGACAAAAATACAGAAAGTGCTTGGACAAAATAGCTAGGATAAAATGTCTAATAGAAACAGAGCTCCTAAGCAAAATTTTTACTTAATTTTTATAATGTTGGATGTGAATTGTTCATGTATGTTTTATTTGGAAAATGCCTATAAACCATTGAATAATGAAAAAGAGGGGATGAGACTTTATCACAATGTGTTCAGTTTCATTCAGTCTTGTTCAAAAATCCCGCACCATAGGTTTTGAATAATTTACTATTTTGGGTCTTATGTTTTAAAACAGCTGTTAACTTTTCTTTGAAAAACCATCGAATATATTAATCTGATAAAACACCCATATTATTCTACATGTAGGCCAGATAATCTCGGAATAATATGGTAATGTTTTAATGATTTCTGAAATGTTTACTTTTGTTTTTGTAAATTTATGTCAGAATTATTAAAAGTATAGGTGAGCATTTTTTTATTATTATTATTTTAAAATCTTCACATATAGTATGTGCAAAGAGACATGATTCATATTGTTCTTTTTGAAGTAAGCAGAAACAAATCATCTCATGCAGATCCAGGGGGGTGCTCAGTGCAAATATGGATAAAACAATTTTATAGCACTATTTGATTTATTGACAGGACCCCCAATTTTTTCTATTTCTATAAGAAATAGACAGGGGCCACCTGTCAGTCAGGGGCCCTTGGAGTTGTCCTCTAGGTGCCATGTAGAGGATCAGGATGCCAGCGGACTTGCTGAATTGGGCTTGGAACCCATTAAGAAGTGATTTCTAATCAAGTTTAGTTTTTCTGAATGTTTCTGTAATTCTTAGGACAGAGATGGATGATTGAACTCAATGGGCTGGCATGCTTTTCTCATAACTAGAGTAAATTTGAAAAAAAAAAAAGATCTTTACACTTCTGACTTGTCATTGTTTACTCAATTTATTTAATCTTACCAGTAAGATGAATGGGGTCACTGCGGCTAGAGGAGAATCTTTGCCTTGACCGATACTGACACAGGAATTCTCCATCATGATCCAGGGTCGCATTTTGGATTTTGAAGATAGAAATGGTGGAAGGTGTGTACTGAGTCATTCTGAATGAACCTGAAGTCTTTTGGAGAGTAATGGTTCCAAAAGAAAATTGTGGAGTTACAATAGAACAAGTGATGGTAACTTGCTGACCCCAGGTGACCTCAGCAGCAGGGCTAATAGAGATGCGGGGCTTGGGAAGGTTCACTGAAAAAGAGGATTTTGTTACTGAAATTTATCTTTCCTGAATATCGCCAGATATTTAGGGACCCATGGATAATGGGATTTATTGACTTGAATTTTTTTCTAAAACCAAAAAAAAATATTTTGATTTTCATTGCATTTTTATATGAATGAATTTATCTTACCTCTAAGACGAACAAAGTCACTCTCGTCAGAGGTCAATGTTTGGTTTGACATCCTTTTCACATACTGACACATGAATTCTCCATCATGATCCAGAGTCACTTTTAAGATGTTGAAGGTAGCAGAGGAGGAAACTGATGGCTCAGTCATTCTGAATGATCTTGAAGTCTGTCGGAGGATAAATGTTCCATTGAAAGGTTTAGCTTCAACAGAACAAGTGATGCTGAGTTGTTGACCCCAGGTGACCTCATCATCCGTCCTCAAAGAGATGCTGGGCTTTGGAAGTCTCACTGAAAGACAGGAGTAGTCGTGGTCTTTATTGTATGTGTCATACAACCTTACAGGTGCCCAGTCCTTATCCAGGCTTACAAGACAATAAAACATATTCAAACAAGCGGACAGACATAAATAGTCTTTAAACAAAAAGCATCTTCTTTTTAAGGTGCCAGGGCTTCAAAATAAACTGTGGCGAAACAAAAAAATACTTAACACATATAAATAACACATTTTATTCTCATCCAATAAATAAAATAGGCTTTTTTCTGTCTAAACCCTTTCATTAAGAACACTGTAGTAAACACAGCTAAGTAAACTAATGCCCTTGTAATTCATAGGTGTTTCAGGATCAGCAGTTTGAGAATTTGGGATGGGTTTAATTATAGATTTTTGTCAATCAGATGGGACCAAGCCCTATCCAAAATATGTGGAAAGAAAGATTAAATAAAATCTGAAATAATCCAGGTAAGATGTAAGAATAAGAGTTTATTAAGCAAGAGCATGCAACCTCAGGACTCTACTGTCAGTTTGGAAATCCCACATTGATTCTGAGTAACAGAGTAAAGAAGAAGAAGAAAAAAAAACAACTAATGTTTTTCAAAGATTAATATAATGACAGCTGGAAGTTTGGAGCATATTTTAGAGTTTTCATAAAATAATTGCATTGCATATCCACAAAAGAATGAAACTAATCAATAATCGTTTGCTCTAATTTTCTTAGCATTAGGTAGGAAACGATGGGGTTTCTCTTACATCACTTTTCAAAAATATCAACATCTCATGAAAGAAAATGTTTCTGTCCTGTTTTGTCAAAACTGTTACGTCTCTCTTCATTTAAAAATGTAACTATAGCAATGAAAATCTATTTCTATAAAAGTGATAAACTTGCTTGAGTACATATTTATAAAAAAAATATAAGTTGTCTTTTATTTAAAAGGTCAGACAAAGTTGATGAGTTTTAAAATGTTTTATTTACCGAGACAGAGAGTAAAAATGTCTCTTGGGATGGTAAAGATTGCTGAGTCATTCATTAGAGATTTATAATATTTTGTGAAACGCAGCCATCATTAATGTTCCCAGAGCTTTTGGGAGACTAATGAATTATTTGATTCTGTTCTCAAAACAAATAGAGAATACATTTCTGTACTGCTGAAGTTTCACTAGATATGCAGTTTATTTAGTCTTACCTGTAAGACTAACAGAGTTACTGAGGAAGGATAATGTTTGGTTAGACAACCTTTTCTCGAACTGACACTGAAATTCTCCATGATGATCGATGGCCACTTTAGGGATGTTGAAGGTGGCAGAGTTGGAATCTGATGACTGAGTCATTCTGAATGATCCTGAAGTCTGTCGGAGGATAAATGTTCCATTTAAAGGAGCAGCTGTAATATAACAAGTGATGTTGACTTCCTGACCCCAGCTGACCACAGAAGCAGGGCTAATAGAGATCCTGGGCTGTGGAAAATTCGCTGGAAAATAGAAAGTAGTTAAGATGAGATTTAGAACATAAATTGGGGACTCCAGTCCTTGGGGGCTAGTGTTCTGTAACTTTTAGATGTATCCCAGTATAGATGAATTAAATAAAAATATGATATTGGAGAACCAGAGACCTGCTAAATAATCATCTGCATAGTGACATTATTCAGACATTTTATTGAGGTGTTTTTGATCAAGGACACATCTTAAACTCTCAGGAAACTGACCCCTTGAGGACAAGAATTGCCCATCTCCGGACTAGGACATGGAATAGTCTGACCCTGAAAACCAGGGAGCTGATACATGGAGAGTTGATCAATGGCATGTAAACCAGGTGAGTTCAATCAAGTGTATGCTTTTTTCAGAGAAAATCAGAACATTAACATAATAAGAATCATTTGATCTCAACTGCAGAAGACATGCAGACATATGAGTCAAGGGAAGAAGCAGCAGAGCATAGCAACACTTTGCAAAACACATATAGAAAAACTGTTGAAGAGTGAAAACTTTTAAGTCAATGCAAAAACGAAACCCAAACATGATTAGAAATCAGTGCAAAACACTGCTTTCTAAGCTAAACTACAAGGTCATAGCAATTTATAAGGCACAATCAGTGAAAAAGTCAAAGCTAGCTGACATACTAATTACAGCATGTAAGCTATCACTAGCAAGTTGACCTACAGTAAAATGAAAAACCCAAGAAAACGTTCAAATTAGCTAAAAAGGTAAAGCCAGACAAAATACCAATAATAGCATCTATGCTAGCTGTAGCATGTTGAACTACAGGAACACACTCCATGTAGTGTGAAAAACTGCATGTAAAAGTTGAAATTAGCTCAACGTTAAAGATAGCTAAACTGCTAATAATAGCATTTTTGACTATCACTAGCATGTCGACCTATGTGACATACTCCACTCAATGTGCAAAGCCCTAGATTAAATTTAAAATTAGATATACAAATAGAGTTAGCTAAAATACTACGAATCAAATTTTATTTGCAAAGCACCTTTCAAAATGCTTTACATTATAAAAACCCAAAAATACAAATCATAGAGCACACAGTCAACAGCATCATATTTTGTCATCATTGCACATCAGATTATTGATTAATATTTTATGATTATCTTTCAAAAGCAACGCTAAACAACTGAGTTTTTAGTCTAGATTCAAGGGAACTCAGTGTTATGGCTGTTTTGCAGTTTCCTGGAAGTTTATTCCAGATTTGTAGTGCATAGAAGCTGAATGTTGTTTCTCCATATTTTGTTCTGGTTCTGGGTCTGTCCTAACCCAGAACCAGGGTCAGGACAGACCCTAAATAAAAGCAGTGTGATAACGAATAAAAATCCAACAAACTAGATCATAAAAAAATAGACATCTAGTTATCTAGGGCTGGTTCTACAGAAAAAAACCAACCCTTTTCTGTAGGATATGAAGGAATTTGTCACCAGACTATTAGACAATCAGTACCATAGAGTATGAAGAGTCAACCGTCTGTGGACTATACGTGCTGACTACTGACGTCAATATGGTAGCATAACTTATGCTATTATGATGTGATGAACAGTTGTAGACAACATGCGAGCTAATGTTAAAGCAGCAAGTAAAACAACAAGATGAAAGCAACTAGTGAGCGTTCAAAGCCAGCCCAGTTCTTTCTGCAGTCAAGTTACTCACACATATGTCTATGAAATATATAATCCTTCTATATATATCAACAAGCCAACATTGAACACAGTGTTAGTTATATTCACTGACTGTATACTCTTGCATGTCTTTTTTGTCAGATGTGCTTTTAATTGATTTTGAATCAAAGTCCTGAGAGTTTTCCCTTCACTTATGATAATTTCAGCATTTTTCTGTTTCAGGATTCAGTGAAATTAAACTTTTCTCACCTGAGCAGACCACGCCAGCATCCTCGTTGTGTTTACACTTGTGTGTCCCAAACCCTGCATGCTGACAGTTGGTTAGAGCGCTTTCACTTCCTGTACAGTTCACATGGTCAAGCCAAATTTGACCAGTTCCTTCACGAGAAGCAGCTGATGAAGTTGTACTTAATGCTGAACCACAGGATAACTGTCTGCAGACCACCTGAGCATCAGTTAGATCCCAGCCATCATCACACACTGTTCCCCATTGGCCGTCATGGTTGATCTCAACTCTTCCAGAGCAGGAAGTTGATCCAGTCAATCTGATAACAGAGTCTATTAACAATAATTTACTGATCAGTGAACATAGCATACATAAGCACTCCCTTTCACTTTGTGTTTAAATGCTTTAAGCCAAAAACAAAACTGGCTAATATGTCTGAACATTTAAAACTGAACACTTAAAAGCTATTAGATATGCATCTTTTTTTGTACCTGAACAGATCACACCAGCATCCTCACTATGACCACAGTTATGGCTCTCATAACCTCTGTGTCCACAGCTGGTTAGAGAACTTTCATTTCCTGAGCATTCAACATCATCAAGCAAGATTTTTCCATCTCCTTGACCAAAGTATGCAGAACCCGTTGCATTGAGTGCTGTACCACAGTCCAGCTGTCTGCAAACCACATTAGCATCAACTGTGCTCCAGTAATCATCACAGACCGTTCCCCAGGTATCTCTATAGTGAACTTCAACTCTTCCAGAGCACAGAGTTGATCCAGGACCTGCCAACCTGACCGGACCTTCAGGAAATAAAATTCACCATATTTATGTCAATGTCCCAATGAGATTGAAATACTTTTATACAGTAAGGGAATAGAAAACACTGAGAAATTAGCCTATTGTGAGAATGAGCTGAACTTTAAAAAAATGTGTTATTTCAGTTTTTTCTCACCTGAGCAGACCACACCAGCAACCTCATTGTGTTTACACTTGTGTGTCCCAAACCCTGAATTTTGACAGTTGATTAGAGTACTTTCACTTCCTGTACAGTTCACTTCATCAAGCCAGATTTGACCAGTTCCTTCACCAAAAACTGCTGATGAAGTGGTATTTAATGCTGAACCACAGGATAACTGTCTGCAGACCACCTGAGCATCAGTTAGATCCCAGCCATCATCACACACTGTTCCCCATTGGCCGTCATGGTTGATCTCAACTCTTCCAGAGCAGGAAGTTGATCCAGTCAATCTGATCGCATATTCTGGTTACAGGAAACAGAGAAACTATAACATTATTCTTTACAAAGAAAAATAGCAAATTAAAGACATTACTATTGGTGTCTTCTCTTGTAACCTGCTTTGCTCTACCTTAGTTATGAACATTCATTCAAATTTGGAGCACAGAACCTATTAACCCTGACATGTACTGAAACACAGTACATGGTCAATTACATTAATATTCAAGCCAAAGATTTAGTCAAATGCAATTTATGTCTGTGTTACACAGCCTGCTATACAATCTTTCTGTTGTGTATTTTGTACCAGTTGCTTAGCTGGTTTAAATCTAACGACTCAACAATAAAAACAAAGAAAAAAATCAGAGGTTTAATGTGACTACCTTTAGAAATAATGGCATCAACACACAACAGCTTTGTTTGAAAGACTAAGTTCAAAATTGCTGCTTTCATAGAATGGAAAAGAAATGGAGAAGCTAAGAAATACTTATTAAACCTATTTTATTAACCGAACATCAACAAATGTGATTCCTATCATAAAGGCTTAACTATACAGGTGCATGACAACATGACTTTGGAGAATCAACAGGTGTTACACATTCATCTGGAAGATATGAAAAAGCCAATAATTCTGCATTATTTATGGATGGATGGATGGATGGATGGATGGATGGATGGATGGATGGATGGATGGATGGATGGATGGATGGATGGATGGATGGATGGATGGATGGATGGATGGATGGATGGATGGATGGATGGATGGATGGATGGATGGATGGATGGATGGATGGATTTATTCTCCTATATTGAACATTTTACAGGGTACAGAGCACAAGCATCTAATAAAGAACTACACATAGTGTCTGCTATGGAAGAAATAATAAAACCCATGCAAACTAAACCAGCACTGTATTCAAGATTCACAGAGGAATCTGCTGATCATGAGAATCAGTGAACACACGACACATAAGCTCTACCTATATTTTGTGTTCAAATGCTTTCAGTCAAAAATCTATACTGCCTAATATGCCTGAAGATTCAAAATTGAACATTTAAATATTTGTAAATAATTTTTTCTTTACCTGAACAGATCACACCAGCATCCTCACTATGACCACAGTTATGTCTCCCATAACCGTTGTGTCTACAGCTGGTTAGGGAGCTTTCATCTCCTGAGCACTGAACATCATTGAGCCAGATTTTTCCAAATCCTTTACCAAAGCGAGCAGAACCAACTACATCGAGAGCTGTACCACAGCCCAGCTGTTTACAAACCACTTCAGCATCAGTCATGTCCCAGCCGTCATCACAGACCGTTCCCCAGGTATCTCTATAGTGAACTTCAACTCTTCCAGAGCACAGAGTTGATCCAGAACCTGCCAACCTGACCGGACCTTCAGGAAATAAAATTCACCATATTTATGTCAATGTCCCCATGAGAATGAAATACTTTTATACAGTAAGGAAATAGAAAACACTGAGAAATTAGCCTATTGTGAGAATGAGCTGTTTTTCTAATAGTCCTGATTGGATATTCAAATCATTTTTTGAACAGCGAACAAACTATACATAAGCGGCACCTTTTATTTTGTTTAAATGCTTTCTGACAAAACCAATACTGGCTAATGTGTGTGAACTTTAAAAAAATGTGTTATTTCAGTTTTATCTCACCTGAGCAGACCACACCAGCAACCTCATTGTGTTTACACTTGTGTGTCCCAAACCCTGAATTTTGACAGTTGATTAGAGTACTTTCACTTCCTGTACAGTTCACTTCATCAAGCCAGATTTGACCAGTTCCTTCACCAAAAACTGCTGATGAAGTGGTATTTAATGCTGAACCACAGGATAACTGTCTGCAGACCACCTGAGCATCAGTTAGATCCCAGCCATCATCACACACTGTTCCCCATTGGCCGTCATGGTTGATCTCAACTCTTCCAGAGCAGGAAGTTGATCCAGTCAATCTGATCGCATATTCTGGTTACAGGAAACAGAGAAACTATAACATTATTCTTTACAAAGAAAAATAGCAAATTAAAGACATTACTATTGGTGTCTTCTCTTTGTAACCTGCTTTGCTCTACCTTAGTTATGAACATTCATTCAAATTTGGAGCACAGAACCTATTAACCCTGACATGTACTGAAACACAGTACATGGGCAATTACATTAATATTCAAGCCAAAGATTTAGTCAAATGCAATTTATGTCTGTGTTACACAGCCTGCTATACAATCTTTCTGTTGTGCATTTTGTACCAGTTGCTTAGCTGGTTTAAATCTAACGACTCAACAATAAAAACAAAGAAAAAAATCAGAGGTTTAATGTGACTACCTTTAGAAATAATGGCATCAACACACAACAGCTTTGTTTGAAAGACTAAGTTCAAAATTGCTGCTTTCATAGAATGGAAAAGGAAATGGAGAAGTTAAGAAATACTTATTAAACCTAATTTATTAACCGAACATCAACAAATGTGATTCCTATCATAAAGGCTTAACTATACAGGTGCATGACAACATGACTTTGGAGAATCAACAGGTGTTACACATTCATCTGGAAGATATGAGAAAGCCAATAATTCTGCATTATTTACTAATGAATGAACACATGGATGGATGGATGGATTTATTCTGCTATATTGAACATTTTACAGGGTACAGAGCACAAGCATCTAATAAAGAACTACACTGTAAAATGTAATAAGTTCACTTTACTTTTAGGAAACCGATTGCCTCAAAATCTCCAAATAAAGTAGCTAATTCATTTTAAGGTGTTATAGCTATAAACAACTATGTTTAGACAACTCATGTAATGGCAGTAAACTTGAGTATGGGTAACTCAAAATCATTAGTAAGGTTGACTATAAAATGTCAATTATGACTACTTCCATGTGTGTTATGTCAGTTAAGCAGTACGCATAAAAAAATAAATTATGCTTACACATTAAAGCGTTCACATTACTTGCAAAATATCAGGAAACCGATTGCCTTGATATGTTCAAGTAAGAAGAACCAAAAGTGTTAAGTTATTGAAACGAAGAGTCAACAGACAACAGTTTGAATGGAAAAAAAATGTTTAATAATTAAACAAGTTTACGTTAAATACAGGGTTCTCAAGTGTGGTTACAGACACACTAACCTGGAAACAAAGTTTTCCATAAACGTTTTTTCTAGGGCAGCCTTCAATCTCATATTGAATCCTTCAAATGACCCTCAGGCTTCAAAATGAATCGAAACAATTCAAAGAGAATCAAACAAGAAATAAAAATCACTTTTACAATAAGGGTAAAGGTATCAACGTTGATCCATAATGTCACATCACATTCACTCATTGCATCAGAATATTTTTGAATGATTGTATTTTTGGTTTTAGGGATTTATGTCCAAGTGAGAGAAACACCCTTTGGATGAAATCAAAGGTGTACTTGTTGAGTGTACTCCAAATTCAAAGCATAAATAAGTTCAAACAGCAAGCACATAGCATGTGGAAGATTTCCAAGGTCATTTATGACAAGACTTCCTTCCAAAATGATGGATGAAGACTCAAGGTGCAGGGAGTCAGGGGAGGCCTGCCTGTCCTCAGGAATGATGGCCAGGATCCCAATGGGGGTGTAAGACATGTCTGGGTCTTCGCAATCCTAACAACAATAGAAGCAACACCACAATTATATAACAATGTAACACTTTACAGCTGTCCCACCTATGGCAGTCCACTCATCATCAGCCTTCTATGACAGTACAGCGAGCGCATTTCCCAAGAGTGTCAGTGATAAATAAGTGTTGATGATGTTGGAAGGGAAATTTCATAACATTTTTACATGTTGCACTTCATCAGCAAAGTGAAATTCATTGTACAGTTTTTGTTCTTGATGACATTTGGGTTTCACATGGTGTGACGTTAGAGAACTGCAACTGAAACCTTTCGAAAGACAGCAGAGAACCACTAAAAGTGTTTTGATTGAGGATATTTCATCAGTGCATCATGTAAGAAGTACAGTAGCACTGGTTCAGGCTGAGTGAAAGAACAGTAACTAAAACTAAAGCTATCAAAGTCACATAAGGAGCAGAATTGAGTGGGACATACTGCGGTGTGGAATTATAAAAATATAATAAAGATGACCTACAAATCATGTCTTGAAGTCTGTGTTCCCATCTCCAAGGATCACAGGAAGGCCACGGAGCACTGCTGTTCGCGTCGCACTAAAATCTGTACTCTGAAAAATCATATCAAACACACATCACTCCTGTGGTAAAGAAGAATCAAGTAACAGCTCTGCATACACAGTGGGGTTGTGTATTTTGTTCCCAACATGATAATTGTTCAAAAGACCCCTTAAATAATCTAAGTTTGTTAATTACTAATGTTCGTAGTGATTTCTGTTCAGCGTTACTTTTGCCACTTAGGGCATACCGTAGTTGTGGCGGCGATGACGTCATCACATCGCCATAAGAAAGAGAACCGTTCCTGATATTGCAGGGGGAGGTGGGGTAACAGAGCCACTGTGCTGATACATGAGAGGGGCAGAATATGTGTGATCGCCTTATAAGTGTGCGTTATTGACAAGTAAGTTACGATATTTGATTGTTTACTGAAGTTAAATGAGTGATTTGAAGTTTATTCCTTTACCGTTATTTACCGTTAGGTCCGAGCTATCGGCTATATGTGTGTTGTAGAGCGCTGTGCGATGTACTTGACAGGCGCACAGGCATTGATAATAGTTCATTTGTTTTAGTTCGCTTATGAATAGTGATTCTGATGTTAAGCTTGTTTAGGCTTTATCTATTTCCTTCTTAGTTTATCTAAGGTGTAATAGTGATGTGTAATGATAGAACACCTGAAATTTATTTCTGTGTTTCTGTTTATTCTAGGAGACCACACACACCTACACACATACCTGAAGCACTCACCCACACCCACCAAATACACCTTGATGCCAATTACTCTTGTTGGACTAAGATCTGTGACCCGACTTGGAATACAGAAAGTAAAAGGGATCCTGCCTCATGTCTTCCTTCTTCCACCTGCTGCATCACATCTGGTCCTGAACTGAATCCAGTCTAAGTAGTGTTCTGACCGACACTCCAGGTTGAGAGCAGTGACAAACCTGAACAGTGCCTTTAAACTATCCTACAAATTAAGAGCAGACTCAACTACATTAATGGTCCTTCGAGCCGGAGTCACTGCCTTACCCTAGTAAAATGGATGGAAATCAGGACCACAGAAGTGGAGCACGTCCTAAACGTCAGATCCGTCCCCCCCCCAAAGTTATGAATATTATCAGCTTGATTTCAACGGTCTCAACTCTTACCAACACAGAGTGGAGAGAGGAAGGATGGCTACACAGGAGGGACTGGCCGAGAATACTCCACTTACCTCATCATATGCTTCTCCAACAGCCATGGAGGCATGGGTTCTCAGCGAACCTATCACACATGATCCAGGAGACAGTCAGCTGTGGATCAAAGAGGAGCAGTTAGCTCAATTGCTAGTGTCAGAAGGAAGACCAGCAAGGTTATGGAGACAGCCTACCCCTCACAGTCTCTTACCTCCCACCTCAACTGAAGCCATGGCTCTAAGATCAGAGTTAGAAGACCTCCAGCATGAAAGGTTCCTCCTTCAGCAGTCACAGCAGCGCATTTCAGCAGACTTGGCACATTTAAGAGCTATACAGACTGATTGGGTTCAGATAATGAATGCTGCTCATGAGGCTCAGCAGGAACAGCTTAAAGGAGCAGCATGTGTCCAGCTGCCTGACTCACCTGTCAATAATGAGGATGAAGAGTGGCCACTGCCACCTCCACCAGTTTGGATGACTGAGGATGAGGAGGAAACGCCGGTCCTGGAGCGCCTGGACAAAATGATGAGTGAGCTTCAGATTTTGAAAGGTGAAGCTCTGCTAACCCAACGCAGTCAGCCTTTGGCTCAACCAGCAACACAAATGGCCTTATGTCATCACCAGAGAAGGAACAATTATCAACCCAGCAGTCAGGCTCCACTTATAACTTCACTGCAGCATGCATCAGCACATCTGTCAGCTACTTTCACTCTGGGATTTAGCTCCACCAATTACATGCCCACGAGCATTCCAGCTAGTCCCCCTCAGCAACCAATACAGCAAGCACCTCTCCTGCACACTCCTCGTGTTCCCCAAGCAACTGCTCCAAATCCTAGGCCACCCTATCAGAGTTTCAGCTCAGAGACAGCCTATCATGGTCCTCGTCCCACCATCCCTAACCTATTTCACAGAGACCCTGTTGAATTTGCACACCTGAAGATGGCTCTAGAGAACTTACTACCACCTGACAGCCCAGAGCTCTTCAAATATCAAGTTTTAGTGGACCATCTAAAGTTGGAGGATGCCAAACTGGTAGCGGAAGCCTACCTTCACAGACACCATGATGGCCTTAAATGAGAAGTTTGAACAGCCTCACCAACTGGCTCTAAGGAGAATTGCCACTGTGATGGACTCACCTGACATCAGACGTGGTGATGTTGTCGCCTTTGAGAAGTTTTCTCTCCAGATCCAGTCACTGGTGGGCCTGCTAAAGACACTTCGCCCTGAGGGAGAGATGGAGCTCTATTGCGGCTCACATGTTGCTTTCCTGCTTAGTAAGTTACCCCGTGAGCAGCGAGCGGATTTCCGCAGATGCATGTTTAAGCAGTCTGGACTTAACCACAACCTTATCGATTTGTCTGACTGGCTGAAATATGAGTCTTGGTGTCAAGATTATGATGGTCAACTACCTGCCAGAGGTTTAAAGGAGAAACAAAGCGGCATGAAAGGAGAAGGAAGATTCAGGAAATGGTCAGTTGCTGTGCTCCATGGTGCGGACAGTTTATCTCAAGGCATTAAACCCCCAAGTAGTTCACCGACAAAAGCCAAACGACCCCCTTATTGTGCCTTTTGCGATGTTAAAGAGCACCAGCTGAGTCAATGTGCACCAGTAAGACAACTGACAAAGGAACAGCTGGCAGATTGGATAAAGACCAACAGAAGATGTTGGCGCTGTGCATGTGCCCATCATGCTGCACAGTGCATCCTGAAGAAGTCTTGTAACCTGTGTCAGGGCAGACACTTACATGATGTTAACACAGGTCCAGCAAAGGGGCCCTTGCCAGCATCACCCAGCCAAACTCCAAGTGAGAACCCGACAGGGGTGTTGTATCTTGATCGACCAACAGAAGGTAGCAGAGTTTTGTTGAAAGTTGTTCCTGTTCTCCTTCGTCATGGTGCCAAAACTCTGGAAACCTATGCAATCTTAGATGATGGTTCCGAAAGAAGTATGCTCCTGCCTTCAGCAGCTCAAAAACTGGGACTTCAGGGCACACCAGAGACTTTGCCTCTATGTACCATCAGACAAGATGTTCAGACACTTAATGGATCCTGTGTCTCCTTCATTATATCCCCCAGAACCAAGCAGAGGACTCAATATCGCATCCGTAATGCCTTCACCACTGAATGTATCGACCTAGCAGATCATACTTACCCTGTTGACTCCCACATGAAGAAATACAAGCATCTGACTGGCTTGCCAATCCAGCCCTTTAAGAAGATAAAACCTCTGCTCCTGATAGGCAGCGATCACCCACATCTCGTTACTCCTACAGAACCTGTGCGACTTGGTCCACCAGGAGACCCAGCTGCTGTCCACACCAGGTTGGGATGGACGCTACAAGGTCCCCTCCAGCATCCTACACCAAGGGGAAAGGTCACAGCAGTGTTTAGTCACCTCCATACCCCCTCAAGTGAATGAGCTAATGAGACATGTGCTTCTGTTTTCCAGAAGCTCTGGAAAACAGATATTATCCCCCTTAGGAATGATAAAGTTGTGACCCGATCCAAGCAAGATAATCAAGCTCTGAACCTTTTAGAGGCTAAAACAGCCCGAGTGGAAGTCGATGGCATTTTCCACTGTGCCACCCCACTGCTGCGATGCAAAGACATGCCTCTCCTGCAGGCCACACCTGAGGCTGTCATGCCGAGCCTGAGAGGAGTTGAGAAGAGGCTTCGCAAAGACCCAAAGAAAGCTGAGATTTACCAGTCAGAGATAGACAAACTAATAAAGGCTGGATATGTGCCTAGAGTGGAAGTTAAAGAGCTAAAGAAAGGAGATGAAGCGTGGTATATTCCTCACCACCTCGTTAGCCAAAAATGGAAAGCATAGACTAGTGTTTAACTGTTCCTTTCAGCACAAAGGTCAAACCCTGAATGATTATCTCCTACCTGGCCGCAACCTTGGTTCCTCTCTGCTCGGGGTCCTTTTAAGGTTCCATGAGCATGCCGGGGCAGTAAGTGGGGATATCAAAGCCATGTTCCACCAGGTCCTCTTACTATACGAAGATTGGCCTCTTCTGCGCTTCCTGTGGCGTAACTTACAACATGAGGAACCACCTGCAGTGTACGAGTGGCAGGTGTTACCGTTTGGCATCACCTGCAGCCCATGTTGTGCCACATTTGCTCTGCAATACCATGCAAAAGACCACAGTCAGCCAGGAGAGGAGGTGAGAACTTCCATAGAGAAATGTTTTTATGTGGATAACTGTCTACACAGTGTGCCAAAAGCCACAGAGGCCAGAGAACTGGTGAACCAACTTAGAACTCTATTGTCATCAGCAGGATTTGTCCTTCGGCAATGGGCCAGCAACGAGTCATGTGCCATCAGTCACCTACCAGAAGAAGATCGGTCAGACAGTGCTGAGCTCTGGCTTGCAGAGAGTAAGACGGAGATCCCGGAATCAACCCTGGGCCTTAGCTGGCACTTCGCTTCAGACATGCTTGGCTATAAGCACCGTCCAGTCCAATATGAGGCTCCTACCATGCGCATCATCTACAGAGTACTGGCCAGTCAGTATGATCCACTGGAGTTTATACTACCATACACCACCAGAGCTAAGATGTTGGTCAGACGTATGTGGGACAAGGATCGGGGCTGGGATGACCCCCAGCTGCCACCTGACCTCCGTCAACAGTGGGATATCTGGGAACGGGAGCTGCAGTTCCTTTCTGAAATCCGTTTACCCAGACCATACCTGCCCACTGATGTAGCCTGGGAGGTGACAAGCAGAGAGCTGCATGTGTTCTGTGATGCGTCAGAGCAGGCTTATGGTGCTGTGGCATATCTTAGAATGACTGGAGAGAATGATCAAGCCATATGTGTCCTTTGTTATGGCTCTCTCCAGAGTAGCTCCCAAATGCCTTCACTCCATTCCAAGACTGGAGCTATGTGCAGCGCTTCTGCAAGCCCAGCTTTCTAAGCTTCTTGAGGGTGAGCTCTCTCTGCACATTGAGAAGACAGTGATGTGGACAGACTCTACCACTGTGCTGACCTGGCTGCGAACTGAATCCTGCCGCTACAAAGTCTTTGTGGGCACGCGCATTGCTGAGATCCAGGAGTTGACCCATCTGCAGAGCTGGCGTTATGTGGAATCTGCCCAAAATCCTGCTGATAACATAACACGTGGCAAAACCCTGCAGGAGTTAGCAAGACCAAACCGATGGAGTCAAGGTCCTCCCATCCTATACCTACCGCAAGACCAATGGCCTAAAGACCCATCTGATAACTCTGAAATCTCCCCAGATGCATCTGAGCTTCGCAGGTCAACCTTTTGTGCCATGACCTCTGCCTCCCTAACCTACATTAGTCAGTATGATACCTGGCATGAACTTCTGGATGTAACCGTACAGAAACTTCAGGGGGCGGCAAATGATGAGAAGCATCAAGAGTACTCTCTTGATGCTCTCTTGATGCTTCTCATCAAGAGAACTCAAAAAGAGAGTTTCCCAGAGGAATTTCACCTTCTGAAAGCAGGGAAACCAGTTCAATGGAGTAGTCGTCTCCTAACATTGTCTCCAGAGCTGGATGAAAGTGGAGAACTGATAAGAGTGGGTGGCCGTCTACGTCGTGCTGAAGACTTAACCTTCTGCAACCTTCACCCACTGGTACTTGATCCCTCTCATCCAGTGACCAAGCTGCTCATTCAGGACTGTGACCGTCGACTGCGGCATCCCGGACCAGAACGAGTTTTTGCACAACTCCGGTGCCATTATTGGATCCTTAAAGGTAGAGAAACAATTTGGCGCTTTCAAAGAACCTGTGTAGAATGTCAAAGATGGAGGGCGAGACCTACTGTCCCTAAAATGGCGGACCTGCCTTTGGCCCGACTCCACCTCTTCAAACCAGCCTTCTATTCCAGTGGAACTGACTGCTTTGGTCCCTTTGAAGTTAAAATGGGCCGCAGTTTGGAAAAGAGATGGGGAATAATATTTAAGTGTATGACTGTCAGAGCTGTACATCTGGATGTACTGACCTCCATCAACACAGACTCCTTTTTGATGGCTCTGCGGCGGTTTATTTCACGAAGAGGAACACCAGCTGAGCTTTATTCAGACCAGGGCACCAATTTTAGAGGTAATGCTGAGTTGAGGGAAGCATTTTCAGACATAGCTTTTTCTGCTCAGACTCCCACACTTCAGTTCCACTTCAATCCTCCTGCAGCTCCTCACTTTGGAGGGGTGTGGGAGCGTGAAATCCGCTCTGTGAAGTCAGCACTGTATGCTACAGTCGGAGCACAGCCCATCACAGAAGAGGTCCTTCGTACAGTACTTGTAGAAGTAGAGGGGATTCTCAACTCAAAGCCGCTGGGCTACGTCTCATCCGATGTAAGAGATCCAGATCCTGTGACACCAAACTGCTTGCTTATGGGGCAGCCAGATGGTTCGCTGCCGCAGGTGGTTTACTCCAAAGATGAACTTTTGAGTTGTCGACAGTGGAGGCATGCCCAAGTGCTCGCTGACCATTTTTGGGCCCGGTTTGTTCGTCTATATCTACCTGGACTTCAGACACGCCAGAAATGGCAAACCTCTGCAGTTGACATCAGAGAAGGGATGGTCGCCATGATCGTGGATCCTCATCTGCCTAGGGCTCTCTGGCCCACGGGACGCATCATCAAGGTTCACCCCAGTCCTGATGGACACATCAGGTCAGCAGATGTGAAGACTAAGGACAGAACTTCACTCGACCTGTGGCCCGGCTGGTGATCCTCCCTGCCATACCTCAAGAGGACAGTGACCCTCAGGTGCAAGGTCGCCCTACCTAGTCTTTTGTTTGAGCAAATGTATTGTACACATTTGGGGGCAGCTGTTCAAAAGACCCCTTAAATAATCTAAGTTTGTTAATTACTAATGTTCGTAGTGATTTCTGTTCGGCGTTACTTTTGCCACTTAGGGCATACTGTAGTTGGGGCGGCGATGACGTCATCACATCGCCGTAAGAAAGAGAACCGTTCCTGATATTGCAGGGGGAGGTGGGGTAACAGAGCCACTGTGCTGATACATGAGAGGAGCAGAATATGTGTGATCGCCTTATAAGTGTGCGTTATTGACAAGTAAGTTACGATATTTGATTGTTTACTGAAGTTAAATGAGTGATTTGAAGTTTATTCCTTTACCGTTATTTACCGTTAGGTCCGAGCTATCGGCTATATGTGTGTTGTAGAGCGCTGTGCGATGTACTTGACAGGCGCACAAGCATTGATAATAGTTCATTTGTTTTAGTTCGCTTATGAATAGTGATTCTGATGTTAAGCTTGTTTAGGCTTTATCTATTTCCTTCTTAGTTTATCTAAGGTGTAATAGTATGGTGTAATGTGTAATGATAGAACACCTGAAATTTATTTCTGTATTTCTGTTTATTCTAGGAGACCACACACACCTACACACATACCTGAAGCACTCACCCACACCCACCAAATACACCTTGATGCCAATTACTCTTGTTGGACTAAGATCTGTGACCCGACTTGGAATACAGAAAGTAAAAGGGATCCTGCCTCATGTCTTCCTTCTTCCACCTGCTGCATCACATCTGGTCCTGAACTGAATCTAGTCTAAGTAGTGTTCTGACCGACACTCCAGGTTGAGAGCAGTGACAAACCTGAACAGTGCCTTTAAACTATCCTACAAATTAAGAGCAGACTCAACTACATAAATAAAATAATGACTTTGTATCTGAGAAACTCACCTTCGGGTCTGACTTGTTACAGATACATCTGAGGTTTCTGGCCAACACTTCCCCCCTTGCTCTTGAAAATCTCAAAGAAGCGAGGGGTGCATTTGTCAAGTTGTGTGAACAATTTTGAATCCAGGTTTTTGATCAACAAGCGACAGAACCCTGCCAGAATCTGAAAGAAACGTATGACAAATTAATATTTAACATATAGAGATGTTGGACCTCTCAGGACTACTTTTCACTAGCAGGACACTGAAACTAATTCTGTAAGTTAACTAGAGATATTGCAACGTTGATTCACTTATATTTTGCTATCTCAGTTGGGCACGGGTTGGGTATTATTAATACTACCACTTGCAGTGAACTTGATAAGAAAGAAAGAAAAAAGCCTCTCAGTGTGGTGGAAAGCCTACTAACTTTCCACCACACTGAAAGGTGGTGGAAAGTTAGCTTTTTTTATCCCGCCAACATCTTTATCTTTATCCCTTTTCCTTTTTTTTTTATTTTGCGCCCCGGACAGCTTTTCTCTCTGCCGCTCCATTTTGTTGCTACTAAATAAACATAATATTTTAGACTAAAGTTAGTCCCAGGCAAACCATCGCTAAATCATTACACATAAAGTTAACCTCAAAACCTGGACTTACGGATGAATTATACGGCAGATATAACAAATATAAGTTTGCTAAAAACCAGTGGAACTTACCTTGACAAAACTTGGCTGCAGCAACCGCCGTATTGTTGACAGTTTGGTACTTCTTTAACTGCGCATGTGCGTTCAACGAGAGCTGCCGAATGATGCGGAGTTTTCTGCTGGTTATGCAGATGCGACTTGCTCACTCATAACTCCAAGTTCGGGTTACTTGGTGCTGATGAGTTTGATAACTTGCCTCAGTAAAAAGTTGTCTTTGCTAATTTTAAGTTAGTATAGTCAACAGAGTAAGCTAGAATGAGTTAAGGTGAATTTTCTTTTAGAGTAAGATATACTATTACATTTTACAGTGTAGACATAGTGGCTGCTATAAAAGAAATAATCAAACTCATGCAAACTAAACCAGCACTGTATTCAAGAAAATGTCTGAGATTCACAGAGGAATCTGCTGATTATGAGAATCAGTGAACACACCACACATAAGCTCTACCTATATTTTGTGTTCAAATGCTTTCAGTCAAAAATCTTTACTGACTAAAATGTCTGAATATTTAAAACTGAACATTTAAATATTTGTAAATCATTTTTCCTTTACCTGAACAGATCACACCAGCATCCTCACTATGACTACAGCCATGTGTCCAATAACCGTTGTGTCTACAGCTGGTTAGAGAGCTTTCATTTCCTGAGCACCGAACTTCATCAAGCAAGATTTGTCCATCTCCTTGACCAAAGTGAGCAGAACCTGGTGCACTGAGTGCTGTACCACAGCCCAGCTGTTTACAAACCACTTCAGCATCAGTCATGTCCCAGCCGTCATCACAAACCGTTCCCCAGGCATATCCATAGAAAATTTCAACCCTTCCAGAGCACCGAGTTGATCCAGAACCTGCCAACCTGACCTGACCTATAAGAACAAAATTGAATATGATGATGTTAATGTTCTGATAAGAGTAAAATACTTTTATGTACTATGGAAATAGAAAAGAAAATCTGACCTCTAATGAATGCCGATGAAGTCAAAACAAGCACAACTGTAAGATAAACACTTGGACTGTTATTTTCTTAACAGAATTCATGTAAACTATGACATTGCTTATCTACGGAGCCCCCGAGGGGACATGGAGATTTTTTTTTCTTTTGGGTCCCCTCGCAAAACCTTTTGTTTTACAGGGGGACGCAAAAGACAAAAAAATTCCCCATGTCCCCTCGGGGGCTGCGTACTTCTCTGTTTATCATGAAAGTGATAAAACAAATACTATTGATAATAATGAAAATATGAACTTACAAAAAAAGCCTGTAAAAAATTGAAGCTTTTTGTTCCACATAGCTGCATGTAGCTTCACTGTGTTCTTCAACTGGTGTTCAGAAACACATTTGGTTTCCCACTGAGTCCATTCCTGAGACACTTCCTCTTTACATATGTGTGTTTTTTTAAAAGTTACTCAGCTCAGGAAAAAACTTCTTTAAGTAGTAACATTGTCCATGTTGTCATAACAGCAGATTAACCTGATCCTCCTTTAAGATTTCATTTAAAGATAGTTTTATAATTACTTTAGTTGAAATTTTTATAGAGAGAATGGTTATCTGGTTATGAAGTTTTGTGTTTTTAGAGCTGATATTGGCTCTCAGTAATTCAGTTTCTTGGAATTGTTAATCTGTCAGAAAGGCAAAAGAATCTGCATTATTTCCTCTGTAGCAGTTCCAACTGCTACAGAGGAAATCATGTTCCTCCAGACCATGCTTCTCTTGTTTTTTTTCCTCCAAACCATGTTTCTCATGGTTTGGAGGAACATGAACAAACATCATCAAGGAAGAGAGAATGACTTGCGCTTAAAGCTTTGCTTTCTGCCACGAATGCAAATTTAGCAATTTGACAAGCTTCTGAGTTTCCAAGTAAATCTAAAAGTGTTATCAAAATCATTTGATCAAAAGGAAAGCCAAAAAGCCACAGTTGCATTTCATCTCAATAAAACAGTGAAGGGAAAAAGGGGAAACAGTGAGTAACGTATTGATAGTGGTCCTATCTCAACTAAAGAGTCAGAGTCTGACTCCACAAACAACACAACTTCTGGATCTTTCGTCACACAATTCAAGAAAGACTTTGAAGATGTTTTTACTGCTATGCAAAGACAAAACCCTCTTCAGTGCATTTCCTTCATCGGAGTGTATAAACAAGGAGTCGATGAAAAGAGTAACAGAAGTGACTGCTGTATTATTTGGATGGTTAACAGGCCTGGTGCACAGTGTTAACATGTAGCTGCATGACCAGGTATGTAAAAGCAAAACAGTTGTTCAAAGAACACCTTGGATGAAACGTCCCAGCTGCTTTCATTGAAAAGGCATTAGCCCGGTCGTCCATTGCAATGTGTAACAGGTTGGCCTTTTACGGCTGGATTTTTCAGTGCAGATAGATGATATCAAGCAGAGTTTAGGTGGAACAGCAGGTTTATTCCTCCCAGCATCACAAACAATAAGTCACACTCTTGGTCTCACAAATCTCAATGTCTCAATATCTGTCTCACAGGTGAAAATTGCAATCTTAAATAGTCCCAGCTGTGACAGATAAAACAATCTGAAAATTCATAAGGTAGTTCCATCTTACCCTGTTCCACTTAATTGAATAAAATACATTTTACTATAAACACATCAACTTCCTTTTTATAAATATTTTTTTATGTTTTATCCTTACCCTTACTAAAACACCATAAAACAGTACACCATGAAACAATACAAACTATATCATTGTCCAGCCCCTTAGGACAATATTTGTCCAAACATCCTGAGAGGACACAGAAAAGACAGGTGAGTCACTATATTAGCACATTCCACACCTAATAAATTATGCACACCATTTACTTAGTTTTATCTACCAATAGCTCATTGCTCTGAGTATCAATTATCCTTTCTTCACAGTCAACCACCTCCACTGGCCAATGAGGAGCAGCTGTGCAGAGCCCAGAACAAAGGCTACACACTAATACCTAAAATACTCAATAAATACAATTAAAACTTCCTGAGTGCAAAATGTTATTAATTTATAGATCTATTTTAAACGTGCAGTGCTAAATAAAGTGCATAGTGAGAAAGTGCAAATGTTTTTACAGTGCTATACAATACATTGAATAAATTAATTCAGTAATGAAGGTCTCTTCATTACACAATGAAGACGCAAAGATGTTGCAAGTGGAATCTCTTTTACTACTGTGGATTTCATAATTTTAAGGAAACATTTGATGTGCCAATGAACACATAAAATTATTGAAACAGAGGTCCTTACGACATATGGGAAATCAGAGCTCAGTTTCACAATTTTCTTGCATTTATCAAGAAGCATGAGAAAATAGTTTCAGATCCTCAATTTAGAGGAATTCAGAATGACACATCAACAATCCCTGCCTCAAAAGCTAACGGCAAACTGAAGTCACAGCTGAGCAAGCATGTCAACCTCCCATGAACATGGATTACAACTTTTGACTGCTTGTAAATGGTCACCCTGGTTTGTTCTGCCAAGTTTTGGGATAAATCCCATCAAATTTACAATGAACAATTTGTTCCTGAAAAGCAATAAATACACAGGAGGAGGGAAACTACCAGGTGAGAAAGTTGAGCGTCCCAACAAACCTTAATTAAGCACAAAGCCATCTTCTTTTCTCCGTACTTAACAACATGCATAGTTGTTGCAAATGTTAGAAGCAGGAGAAAAACAGACATGCAATACTTTTTTAACCCTCTCAGGCTCAAATTACTTGCAAAGACTAGCAAAGTAGCATTAAGCTGTTGCAAATCTGCAACATCTGCCTGGAGAGGGTTAAGGAGAAAAGACTATTTGTTTTCTGGGCACATCAGTAAAGATGGAGCTAAACATTTGATATGTGAACATGTGGTAAAAGTTATTCCACCATTCTACATACTGACAACAAAGTCAAAAAATTTAATTTCACTTGAGTTTTTATGCTTTCCTTTTGACAAAATAGACAAATATAATTGATTGTGATTGATTTGCAGAAGCAATTAAAGAGAGTGAATACTTTTTATAGGTTTTACATAAACCTGTAAGTTCTTGCTAAATAGTTAAGATTTGGAACATTTATGGTTGAGTTGAAAAACTGGTGCTGCTGGCTCATGTTAATCCAGAGGACAGTGTCTCAGATGTGTTCAGATAATTATGTATTTGCAGCTTTGCTTAGAGTTTAGACATAAATATCATGTGATTTTATTTACAAAGACTCAAAATGAAACATACAGTCACCACCTTTGATGTTTGGAAAATGTCCTCTTATAAGTTACACATTTATCAGAACAGGTTTCTGGTATAATTCTGGTGGAATTTATTTGAATTGGTTAACTTTTTTAAAGGGTTGTATTATGTATCTTTCATACACATATCGCCATTTTATGGTAGAATATAATCTCTATGATACCATGAAAAATATCCTGTATGTATCAAACATGTCTTAGTAACTTGATGGCTTGAAATTGGGCCTCTGTCTTTAACCCTTTTGTTATGCTCAGGTCAATTTGACCCGTTTCAATTTTTGAGTTGACCAAAGTGCAGGTTATTCTTTTTTTTTTTCATGAAATTTTGTGACTTTTCCTCATCTAGGGTCATGAACTTCTGAGTAAAATCTGGAGTCTTTGATGTGTTGAGAAGTGTCTGCACACAATTTGTGTAAAAAGATGATGTGGGTCATTTTGACCCAGACATAAAGTAGCCGTTTAAATACAAAAAAAACATGCCTCTTTGATGTGATTGGTTTTGATTGCCTCAGAATAGCTATTGAGAACCAGGTGTGTGTGGAGGAGGGACTTTCTCTTCCCTCTCCTTGTCACTTTTACAGTCCTTTCTTTGAGAGATACATCCAAAATGAGCTCCAGAAGAAGAAGCTTCATTGAAGATTTTGAATTGGGATAGCGATGTCGATGAAGAAATTTCAGAGACGGAAGATCCTTCAGAGCCAGAGGACAATGCTGTTGATGATCCAGATTGTCATTTTTCCCAAGATGAGGAAGATTCAGAGGACGATTCTTCATCAGATGAAAATCAAGAAACGCAACTATTCTCATTCACAAAGGGGACGTGGACATCTAAAGATGGTAAGATAAGATGGTCATCATCACCACACCAAAGCCAAGGCAGATTGTCATCTTCTAATGTCATCAAAATGACTCCTGGTCCAACAAGATTTTCCGTCACAAGAGTTATTGACATTGAATCAGCATTTCAGCTTTTCATATCCCCACCCATAGAGAAGATAATTCTTGAGATGACCAACTTGGAGGGGAGACGTTTCTTTCAAGAAAAATGGAAACAACTGGATCCAACTGGTTTGCATGCCTACATCGAAATTCTGGTGTTAGCTGGAGTATACAGGTCGAAGGGTGAAGACACAGATTACTTTTCCACAGAAAAGGGGAAAAGAGCCATCGGCTCTCAGTCCCCAACTGCCTTTTATTATTATGTGAATACACAAAGAGGTTGGCTTTCTCACTCAGACATGCAAACAATTGACCAATACATTACAGGATGTTCTGGGAGTCTTCCGTTGATGTCCCATTGTTGGGACACAATGATGACCACTCTCAGGATACAGATAAAGATCATTGTGGCTCCTTAACACAGAAATGTGTGGGACATCTCCAACCCTCAAGAGTGTTCAAGTTGTGTATCTGTTCTTCTCATCTCTCATAAGTGTGTATATAATCTAAAATAAAGTTCTGACTAGTTTGACTTCATTTTTGATTGTTTTGAGATGAATTACACAATACGGGTCAAAATGACCCACAACATCATACATGTAATTATTTCTCAACATAATACAAGGGTTAACAAACTCCAACTTATCCCAACTGTCCATGTCTCAGCACATCATCGTGACAATTTATGCCGCTAACAAGAGTTCTTAGGAGCGTTGGACTGAGAAGTAATTTGTACAATAAGCTTAGCAGATGCATAGTTCTGTATTTGCTAATTGTTGCTGGCTAGTCTTCAGGATCTGTGTAGGGATTCAACTGTAAGCAGCCAAAAAATGAGGTCAAAATAGGAAGACAAGATAGCCAACTCTTTGTATTTCTGTAGGCCTTGGGAAGTTATACAACAGTCCCAAATTTCATAGCTGTATGATGAAGTAAGGTCAGTGGTGAGGTGCTTTTGAAATTTGTTGTTGAGTTGTCTCTGTTTTGCGGAACACTTACATGACTGATGACTTAATTTGACAGTAAAAGAAAATAAATTAATAATTATAATGATTAGAACTGACAGAGGCTGACGTGGCTTCAGATAGGCTGAGATTATGCCAAGTGGCCATGAGTCCTAATGATGTGTTTTTTTTTATATTTCTATTGCTGCCAAAAA